TATTTCCTCATAGCTTTCACTCTAGAAGGAAATCTGAAATTCCAATGTTCATCCAGAGTATTTCTTGTCATATTTCTGACACATTAATACACAAGTAATTATTTTCTTATGATTTGAACTGAATCTGATTAAAGTCTGTGACAAAACCAGTTGCAGTTTTTCCTACATTTTGCATCTAACTGGGTTCAATATAAGCATTTATTTGGAGTCTAGAAAATATTCTAAGTAAATTGTTAAAATTGTCAGTAATACTAATAGCTTACTATTATCTGATGTTTTATTTTAGAAGAATAATAAAAGTAAAAGCTTCTACATAAAATTTAAAGACTAATTACTAATTAATCAGTGTCTCCCCCTCCCCACCACTCCATCATCAGTCTGAATTCTATTAAGGATTCACTTATTCTGTGGGTGAGGGAAATATTTTCCAAGTACCTGCACTGAACCCCTCAGTTTATCCTAGTATTTCAAATCATTTTCCTAAGTAAATAGTTTAGTAAACATAGTCGGACATACCAGGATGATACTTCATCTAACATAAACACACTTGTAATTTATTGCCAACTTTAGTGTCAGAGCCAAACAATTAATCCTAATTGGAGAGTGTTGTGTTCCCTTGGCTCACAGTAAATATTTGTACTACTTTCCAATGATAAGCAACCATAGGGAACCAGTAGAAACGTATAAAGATTATCCAAAAGTTTTACAATCCAAATTTCTTCCTTAGTTACTGTATATTTGTTTCCAAAAAGTATTTCTCAACGGAGGAAGTCCCCTGACCGCTCCTATCCATTCCAATTAAACTACCTTATGAAAATACCACTCTACCCCACCTCTGTTCTAAGGCTTTTTTGGAGTCCTTAACTTGTATTTTTCACTGTAATTCATTGTTGTTTGTCAAAAAGAATCATATCTTGCCACATCTGACATAAATTTATAATAATCCAATACTATCTTCAAGTTGAACTTTTCGATAAGTTACATATGGGCGAAAATGGGGCAAAAAGCACATATTATTAATGTCATATGAATGTGTATATATATAAATTTATTTTTTGGAATATCTCTTTATTATTTCTAATCAGTTATGTCTAAGTATATGAGCAGTTCGAATTGAATGGTAGTTGCTATCGCCTTGTTGGTCCGTTCTACATCGGGAGAATTGTCAAATGTTGCATTTACCCATTGATTTTTGCCTCCTTCATCAAGGTGCTTTATTACATGGCACTCAAGAGCAAATAGTATACTTTGTCGTGCACTGGTCTTAAAGGACAATATTGGTGCCAGTCATTATCACATATGTGATAGAGCTGGTTAAACACATTCCAAATATAATTTTAACACAGGGATCATTGCTACGATAGCTGAGTAATACAGGTTTCCTGAGTCGGAAGTGACGAACGCCAAAGGAAAACACGAGGCATCTCTCTATATAACCGACTGATGTGACGAGTGATAACGGATATCCGGCCGAATTTCTGCTCACTAATAATTCCTTCGGAGACCAAAAGTTGATATATGGGACTGTAAGAGGATACCTGACAATTCAATAAAGTAATTGAATGTCATTAGATAAGAGAACACGAGAAAAATAGAAATAGTCCGTACATTCCCTTGTTTATATTCATTCTATATCTTATAAAAACATGGTAATGCACAGACTTTTTCTGTTTTTCTTTCGTGTTCATTTATCTAGTGGCAGTCAATTCTTTTTATGAATTGTCAGATATCGTCTCACAATCTCATACAACAACTTTTGGTCTTCGAATGAATTATTAGTGAGCAGAAATTCGGCCGTATATCCGTTATCACTCGTCACATCAGTCAGTTATATAGAGAGATGACTTGTGTTTTCCTTTGCCGTTCGTCACTTCCGATTCTGGAAAACTGTATTACTCAGCTATCGTAGCAATGATCTCTGTGTTAAAATTATATTTGGAATATGTTTAACCAACTCTATCACATATGTGATAATGACTGGCACCAATATTGTCCTTTAAAGTTGTTAACTATGTATTACTCAGCTATCGTAGCAATGATCTCTGTGTTAAAATTATATTTGGAATATGTTTAACCAACTCTATCACATATGTGATAATGACTGGCACCAATATTGTCCTTTAAAGTTGTTAACTATGTCTTAAATATTGGATAACAAGAGCCCATATTTTCAGGGTAAGATAACAACATGACTATTGATTGTGATTGTCAATACAATGTCATGTCAAAAACTCAGGACTATACGGAGTAAGAACTTTATGTCCTTTAATGTATGAAATAAAAATAAATTGCAACAAAACATACACCTACAACAACTATGTCGTCCAACTCCAATCAGGCCATAAATGATTATTTAGAATAGCAGTTTTCGGTCACTTGAATTTTAATGGTGGTCAGATCAAGTGCAATACATTGTAAATCAGAAGGTAATTATCCGAAAACATTGAAAATCAATTCTATGTCTGTGTATAAATTTAAAATCAATCAGATGCTATACAAAAACCAAAAACCTATTCACCTAAGAATATTTAATAGTTACTTTTAGTACGGTAATAAAAATAATCTAATCAATAAACTACCCAAAATCAATGAAATGAAGACTTGAGTGCCATATAATGTTTTCAATAATTTAACATGATGGTAGGAGAACTGAACTTAATATAACAAGATTGGTTGGTATCCTATCACTTTCGTACCCTTTAAAAACATCAATTGTTAGCTATACGATAAATGCCAATATTTGAAGCTGTAATTATCTTGTTAATATCTCCAAGTTTAACATTAAACAAGATATACAATACTTCTAAAGGAAAGTTGTCACAAAATTCAATATTATTACCAGTTAAAGTAAATGTCAGGGCTCTCTTATATTGATTATATCGGTAATAAATAAAACATCTTAACATTTCCTGTCAATCATACTGTATGTATGTAATTTATACAGCAAGAATCCAAGAATCACATAAGCCATCTTCTGGTAGTATTTATTACTCTGAAGATCGCACCATCAACAAGAAATCAATTTTAAATATATTTTTCACTTCATTTCCTAAGATTATTAAAGATAGGTTGCCAGGCAATAATTAGGGGTCTGTTGGTCCGGGGGGAGGGCGTAATTTCAAGTCTATGGACATAACTCATCTTGCCTGCACTGTAAAGATATTCTTCCACCCATCGCCTGTACTTTCAAGTAAGGAGTTAATTCAATACCGTCTTGGAATATATTTTATCAAATACAACAAGAAGCAATGGCACCATAATTTTACTTATATTTCATTGAACATAAAATGAAACCTACCAAGATCTTTAAGCTACATGTACATGTAGCTAAGCTGTGGCAAAACCCATTTATGTTTTAGTTCTTTGTAACTTGATAAATATATAACTTATTATAACCACTTGAGTTCTGTGAACAATGTTTTGTTTAAAATATCAAAAATTTGCAAATTAAAAATTAAATCTTTTGAGAAGAGCAGCCATGTGCTTTTTTCCATATAGTACATGTAATGTAAATCATTATTATATGTACTTCTGTAGGTACATACTTCTGTTACTACTAGTATTAACTTGTTAAGCAGATTACTGAATATGTATCAGCATGTATTTATTATAGATACATGTGTATTAAGTTCCATGAAGAACAACTGAACATACATATAGTAATGATACCCTCTTCTGATCAAAGAAATAAAATCAAAATTCACAGGGAGAGACTCTGGGGAAAACACACCAACATCCTCAATTCTATAGCCTAAAGATGGAATTCCACAATGATATATTTATAGAAAGAAAATACCATACTATGATTATTAGAGCAGCAGGTTTTCTACATAACTGACATTTCCTCGTGTTCATAATATGTAACAGTTTGTAACTCATTATGTGTTATGCTGAGTGGGTAAAGATATCAAGATAGAGAATTTTAAGCCAAATGAATGTAATAAAAACTTACAATTATAAAGCAACAGTTGCTATTTTGCAACAATTTAATTTTTTAAAAAATAATAAATTGAATACCACACCACATACCAGTAGTGAACAGGACTCAACATATTGATCAGTTTACATTTTTATTTCTCTTAAAAAGATGGTAATAAAATATGAAATAAATCTTTAATATCCTACTCTCCAGTATCCAGCTCATACATGTAATATAACCCGAATGCAAAGGGACTCTCATAAAATATATGAAGCATGTCTTGCTCATATTCATACACAAAGAAATTTTAGACTGCTCCAGTGATCATGCAAAATTTCTGCAACTTGTCTGTCATCTGCACAGGAGCATGAATTCACACCCCATTGAATGTGGATGGCTAACAATCAGATCATGAATAATTTGATAACATTGGTCATAAAAGCACTTTTATAATTTCTGTAATCACTTTTCTGTTTGGGTATCTAGTTTTTGTTTATTTAGCACATTAATAGGCTTAGATTGTACAATTATGTTCACTGTGACCATGACCTTATTATTTATGCATTAGGTTTATTTCCATTATACATTCTAGTTATAGATATTACAAGGTACATGTACATACAGTCACAAGTTATTAAAGTGTGACCCTTCATTTTCTTGGTAAATATTTTACCATTAAATTTCAGGTGGTTATTTTATTTTGAAACAACAGGTGACCAAATTCCTTAATAAACATGATTGATTTTAACTTTTGGGATAAAATTGAAATAGTTTAATAAGAATTCACTAGATTGCAGAGAAGGGATTTAAAGTCATGGCAATCAGACAGATGCAGGCCTGGATATAACGATTTTAGTTCAACATGACAACATATGAACAACATATACATGTACCATACATGTTGTACGTAGCTCCTGACATTTTCAACTTAGTGTCAGACATGTTTTAATAATACACTGTACCGGTATCAATAAAAACACAGAAAAATTTGTTTGCTGGACAAAATGTGCATGGGGTTGACGACAATATAAAACAACATTTCAATGAGAAACTTGAGAAAGATGGGAAATAATGTACAAACCCTGTGTATTTCAATGTCATCTATCCAATGTTGTCTTTCTTCAGGATTTGTAGCACGTAAATACCACACACTGTCACCAACACAGACATCAAATCTACATTCATCGAACTGATGAGGCTGTAATATAGTAACAAAAACAAACGTAAATTGTAGAATTTCTTGATGCGATTATTCATTTTCAAATCAAATAACATTATAACTGCTCCGGCTTTTACATGTAAATTGGTTTGCTTTTATTGCATGCGTAACTGTAAGCTTTATCTTACAGGGAGGTTACAGAGTTTACAATATTATACATGTATGTATAGATGACCATTTCCAAGAAACATTTTCGGCTTGCTACCAGTTTCCATTGTATGGATACATGCACTAGTTATATGTATCCAAGCCTGGAAATATGACACCTGTCCTAGACTTTGTCCAGTACAAATTATCACACAAGTATGGAAATCCCGTGGAAATAATACACCTGTCACAGGCATTGTCAGACACAAATTATTACACAATGTACATGTATATGTTATATATGTTGTGTGATACTTTGTGTCTGACAGAATCTGTGACAGGTGAATTACATGTACAATGGTCATGTACATCATGTATTGCATGAAATGAACTGCATGTACATGTACCGGTAGTTTGATGGGTTAAACGTCATTTTTACATGTACCAGACAGACGAAGCAGAAATATGACCTTCGTCAGAATTTTCCGCAATGAATGACATCTTAATTAAACATGTTGGTAATGTATGTGACCTGCTGATTCAAGTCAGTGCTTGCCTTCTGTCCTAAGCATAATCTTAAACTACATCTTAAACAAGATTAGTTATAAGCTTACATGTATGTGTACCTATACACTGTATTATCATACTAAATAAATAATATACATGGATTGTTAATTAGTACTAGTAGGCTGATTGATAATATATTGTTCTTATTGCCTACACACACTATTGAAACATAATTCTCAGTGTATCGATAATACATGTTGTACGCTAAATACTGATATAAACTACAACTGTGCTATTACTGGCGAGTCATGTTACTGTACCATAGAATTCCACAAATGAATAGATGATAGATCACATTTTTAAACCCTGTCTTAAACTTGTAAATTATTGATTGTAAAGGAAACAAACTGACATTTTTAAATCATCCTTGATTCTGTGTGCAGTATGCTTACCAGTAAGCTTACACTTATCTTGTTTTATATAGTACAATATGTAGGGATAAAGCAATTTACATGTTTACCACAAATAATTAATCCTGATTTCAATTACACTTATCTTGTTTTATATAGTACAATATGTAGGGATAAAGCAATTTACATGTTTACCACAAATAATTAATCCTGATTTCAATTCCATATTATCATGTCAATATCATTATCAGTCTGAATAGACACATGCTCAAACATAATGTGGTATTATTCCACTTAAAGATACATTATGTAAGATTTAAATAAAGAGCTGACCATCTTTGCTATAATAGTTCAAAAATAGATAATGCAAAATGAATATATTGAAAATTTCATCCAAATCACTTTATTCTACTGAGTCAAGTTATCACTGTAGTTTTGACAAAATGTGTAACCACAGTACTGGAATATTCGAGACTTACATGTAGTCTCTCTTTCCCATTTTTAAATCAAATCATTAAATGGCCATAACCATTTTAATCTAATTAAAATCCTGAGCATCCGATGCCATTAAGAGTTGATTATGGTCTTCGTAAAATGTACATGTAAGTTAATTAATGTCTAATTAATAATTTATATAACATTTAAATCTAAGGCCTAAAGAAAGACCTGCACTAGTCAAATTTAGCTCTTGAATAATGTATCTTTAACTGCGAAAATAACCAGCGGCTGCCAGACAGGATACGTCCACATTTTGCAAGAGATGGATAGAAAACAAGCTAAACAAAAAGCTATTTTTCGTATAATCAAAGGCCATTATTTAGGAAGTTATGATCCGATATGCGCTAATATCGACAGGAACCAAGATCTTAAGGTTATAAAGATATATTTCAAGTTTCATCAAAATCGGATCAACATTGTGACTTCTAGAGGGTCCACAACCTTGATATACCATATATTTACACTATTTGTGTACTAGGTAAGGGGAGGCCATTTGGTCCGGCAGTTTTGGTCTGATTTTCACAAATTCTAACTCAGCAAAAATTGGGGTGTAATCGTGAAATATCCAGACGTTTTTTTCAATCGGATAAAAATTGTGACCTCTAGAGGGACCCCAACCTAAAAACGTGATTTTCTGTACAATCAAGGGCCATAATTCAGGAAGTTCAAATCCGATATGCGTGAATATCGAAAGGAATCAAGATTTTTGGGTTATAAACCTTGGGTCCACAACCTTGATATACAATATACACTATTTGCATACGAGGGGTGGCTATTTTGTCCGGCAGTTTTGGTCCGATTTTCATTAGATTGATCGCGTAAATTATTAAGCTTTGTCCTAGATCCCATATAAGGTATTCTAATATGCTAAGTTCTATTATGCATTTGTCTATTATGAAAAATGCAGAACGGAGAAGTGTAATGTGCAAAATAACTATTTGTAATACTGTATTTGTATTAATGAAAAGTGTATTTCTGTATTTTAACACTGTGACATTGGTATTGTGGAGCAATGGAAATTGCATTTTGTAAAACTAAAATACGTATTTTGAACTGCTGACATACAATGTATGCAGTTTATACAGTGAAGATTGAAATAATATTGGCAATGTTAACCTTCCATAGCACAACAGGCACATGTGCAATCTTACAGGTACATACCTACTACATGTAGACAAGATATTGTGATATCTGTTATATTTTCTAAATTGTGATATTTTAAAAATCGTGATTAATCAAGATTGATGATATGCATCTTTTAGTATCATTGCAACACTCACTTAAGATCAAACTATTATTGTACCATAACTACCAGTTAATTATCTTTTTAAATCTGTCGTTTGGACACTGCAAATTATAGCTTAGATCAGGTAATATCAGACTTGCCGTCATTCAAGAAATGTACATGTATACCACAAAAATACCGAAAGTATCCAACCCTGTATTTAGAACTGAGGTCTGAATTTATTTACAGAAAAAAAAATTGTTATCATATTATTTTGACATCCATTGGGAGAAGTCTTGTCTTTAATTTGGTTACTTTTTAGTACATGTACCATTACACACATTGATTACATTTGAACTAAATATCACCCTATATTGAACAATTACAGTAGCTCACTCAACTCACTGTCATCCAGACCACAAGTTGTGGCACAACTGTATACATACATGTATATTACTTGTACCGGTATGTCCACTGCCATGAGTTATGGCCTGGCTAAAAAAACAAATGTATTTTCAACACAAAGTGTTTGTGACAAAATCTATCGGTTTAATAATAATAATTGTCTTATATATAGTGCTAAATTATGCCCGCTGGTAATTTCTAAGCGCTTCACCGTGAGTTAACTATTTGTTCTTGCACAAATATTTGACAGTTGATTGGTAGCAAATATTTTCTCTGTGCCTTCTATAGTCAAAATCAACAAGACTGTAACATGTATCTACTATAAATTTACTCTTTTGGTCTAATTAATCTGTTCAAATAAATAAATAGCTACTTTATGGTCTTTGAACTATTTGGTCAGATAAGCTTTTCAGAAGTAATTAGTAATTTACTATAAAGATCATTTCAGTCAAGTGAAGTGTTCAAGAATGCACAAATTGTTTTACATGTTGAGTCTGTTCCCCTGAACTTGCATCGATATTATGCCCAGGTACATACTTAAAAAAAATATTATATTATTTTTCTCTCAAGCGAGACTTATATCGACCTTACAACCGAGAGCAACTGGCATTTCGGCAACACTGATCAACTAAAAAAGGTCGACCTGAGCACCTTTTACAACTCAAAGCAACTACATGTACATGTAGTTTTGACAGTCAGTTGAAGTCTGTTGCCCACACTGAGCTCACTACAAGTAGCTTCAACTAGTTGATATCACATGGGCGGTCTTACACTTACAACAGGCGTTAACTCGTTTCCATGAAAATAGCATCATGTGAATTTATAAACACTAAAATAGGCAAAATGGTAACGAATGAAGGCATCCCCTTTTCATTACTTCGATGATGTCAACAATAATGTACATGATGTAGTAACAGAATTGTGGCGGGACCAATACTTACTTTTGGGGGGCTTCTTCTAAGTTATTTGCTTTTTTGTTGATCATGTGATGAATAAATTAACAGTCACTGTTAATGTTAAGTGTAATCGCTGATTCGATTGACATAAGCAATCGCTGTTGAAAGCAGTTGCTCCAAGTTGCAAAGTCTACATAAAGCCCCGCCTTAGTTTAAAGTTTATATATTCATTAAGTCAATTAATGAATTAAGACAATGAACAGTTTAATTTGTCCTTCGAAATCGAATAAGACTTTTTCAACTTTTAACTCTCCATAACATGTGTCACATTGATCTGGCCATGGAGGAATTAGAGATTATTTTACACTTAATCCATAATGATAATTGTGTATTGTTAATGTTTAAGTCAATAGAAAATTAATTTTACCCTGTCACTGACCGCCCTAGACTCTTAAAACCTTTAGCCAAATTTTTAGCCAAATCAAAATTTTATTAGCCAATTCAGAAAGTTTTAGCCAAATATTTTATATCATTTTTATTCATATTTTTGTTAATTAAAAATGAAAATAAATGTTTAATATGTACTTATATAAGTACACAAGAATATTATTTTATCTCCTTGTCCACATGCAAAAGTTCACATTATTGAGAGAATGAATGCAGATAACAAAAAAATGTTTATAGGACGTACTTCACAGTCACATGATTTAATTTACTCCGTCATAACAGAAAAGACACGACGATTCTTTTTAAGACACCACTGATCAAATGCTCTGACAAATTCAAAATTTATGCTTTCCGGTCCATCCATTTTTATAAACATGAGGTCATTGAGGGTTAGCTCGACGGTCTCGGTTAAAGGTCTAATTTTTGTCCACATGTTGATGAAGCCAACGAAGGACTTGCGTCCGAGATGACACTCTCACTCACGGAAGTAGATTCTGGACTAACAGTAGTCGTAGGAAGGAAAAAGGAATATATCCTTATTTTGGGTTTACTAGTATTAGTTGTCATTATTGTGCGTTTCATTTATTTGCTGCGTAAGTAAAGAAAACTTATAGTAAAGCGAATGTAAACAACGCAGTGCCACACAAAAGGGGCTTATTGGTTTTTTATAGTCTCGAGACTCGATCTTTCGGTCGTTTTTTAATGCGTAACATTGACTGATTTGCGACTTGTAAGATTGAGACTAGAGTAATTAATGTACTAACAATAGACACTCCATCGAGTCGATCGAAAGAAGCGTTGAACGAGACGATTTAAAGTTTAATATTAGCAGATTTACGAAATAACACTCTCTAAAATTCATTCGCCAAATTTTTCGCCAGTATCACCACTTTATTCGCCAATAAAAATAATTGTCGCCATTGGCGAATTGGCGAATGTCTAGGGCGGTCACTGCCTGTGTGGATGTCAACAATAGGCCTACTGGTAGCTCTTGAGTCTTAACTGGTATTGAACAATGACAAACTTTTAAATGAATGTGTGCTACTTGTAGGTTCACAACAGGTTGTGTAATTAAATCTTTTGATTAACAATTAACAACATTCACATCAAAAGATCCATACTGGGCAATGACAATGTGGATAGGAAAACAACAAAAAAATTCCTCCTGAACTAAATTCAAAATGAAATTATGTTGACCCATAAAATAACAATATATTTAGATATTGTTTAGTAAATATAAATGAAATCAAACAGTATATGAATGTATATAAACTGATTTACATTCAATCGTTTCCGTTTTTACTCTAATTTTAAATCAGTTATGGTTGGCAATATACGCCAAAAGTCTCAATCGAATGGCAACCTCAAGCTCTGATTATTTCAGTCTACACAAATAGTATTTATTGCACATGGATGCTCTCCATATAAGAATATACATGTAGGGTCACCGTTTGACATGACTTGTGGAATATGTCTAGCCTCGTTCTTCGAGTCCCTGTTACAAATGGAGCTGAAACACATTATGGTACACGAATCGTGTAGCAATAGTAAAATGTTTATTATTTTGTCTTAAAAGTTAAATATTGGATATCAGAAGCCCATCGATGTTGATTTAAATTGACAAATAATTCAAGTTCTCAATGTCGAAGACTTTGGATGCTTATTAGATACTTAGCTAAGGGTTGGTACTTAAAACTTTAATCGTATGCAAATAGCCTACGCTACGCATACATCATAATATTCAATATTGGATGAATAACAATAATGAGTGCCCATGCCTTCTGCCATCATCAGGATCAGGACCAGGTAGGGTACAAAATTAATTTAGATCACTCGATTTTTGTTAACAATATAGATCTATCACCATAAACACAAACGAGTCATTCTGTAATTCAATACACTACTTGATTACGAGTAAAAGTCACGTGAAATGAAATACACCACTCCAGGTGACATTAATACTAATAGAAAATTATTTGTGGAATTTCAGAAATGAAATGGAAGCATTGGAACTTACCGTAACAGTTGCTTTACTCAGACTCACGGCACCTCTACATCCAAATGCCGTTTCATCTTCAGATTTATAATAACTTAGAGTTGAATCTTTTAGAACAATAAATCGGTCTTGCCAACCATGTAAATAATTTGTCCACTTGCTGATTGTACCCTGTAGCTCTTGCGCCGACGGTTCTTCTTCTAATTCGTCCTCATCGTCGGTAAAACATAAAATGTCCCTCTCCTCCGACATCATCAATAACCTCAAATGTAACAAAGGTGATAACCATTCGTTTAAGAACAAGAATTAACAAAACATGCGGAAATAACGACAAGCCTACATAGTTGTTGGCCGATCATAAACACCACTTGCGGAAGCCATTTTCGGGTCACGATGTTACAATGACGTCACCAGCGAGATAATATTTGATCTAGGGGCGATAACTCCACCAATTTTAACCTAAAAATCAGGGATCACGCCACCATTGTTTTTATTCCTTTAAATGTATTTCAATGTTAATTCCAGCAATGTATTGGCCTACAACACGCGTGAGTTACAACCCTTTAAACAGTTGGATTTTATTGCAAAATATGATTATATCATGATTATTATAATTATAATTTGGACTTTATAATACTATTTATAAGGTCAATGGATAAACATCTTGAATGTGGTTGACCAACTATATTTTTTCAACGCCTGTTCACATAATTGTACTTTCCTATTTAAATCAAGATTATTACCCCAGAACTGACTCAAACACTTTCCATCCCAAAAATATAAAGGAAAAACGTGATGTAGTAATATGTTAAAAAAAAAACAAATCCGACTACATTCATGTACTTCCTTATTTTCAGCATCAGAAATATATATACCATATTATATAACTGTCAATTAATTTGATGGTTAAAGTCAAAAATTAAATTGAATCAACATGCACATGTCCTATTATTTCAAAATGAATAGATGTGTTTCTAGAGTTTGAATTACTTTGTAAAGTGTGTAACTAAATCTATTCTGTAAAACTTTTTTAAGAGTTGTCATCTCAAAAGCACAAATTATCTGATCTTGGTTATTTAACTCATTAGCAAACTGACCTCTTCACTAAGTATGCAGAAATAAACATGTAATCTGTAAAAGAGAAATGAAAATATTCTCTGCATTTTCCCTAAAATGGGAGTATTCATAAATGCTCATCCAAAATGTATCTCAGCACAACATTCATTTATAATGAAATAAGGGGAAATAACTGTGGCCCTAGTCCACAAAGCAAAGTTTATAGCCAAATTAATTTGTATTCTAAAAATATATAATTATGTTTCTATGATAGTATTCAAAAAATGAATTAAATTTTAGTAAAATATTTTGAAGAAGTTAACTCCACTTCAGCAAGACCACCAACGTCTAATAATAACAAGCATTTCTTTGGTTCCAAAGTATTAATGATTATCAACTCCTATGAAGTGGAATTTAACATATCATCTTTAATACTTACCATTTTTTTTATATATACATACAATCATTTTTTGGGGTAATTTGCTTAGGCCTACATGTGCAATGGAAAGGAATAAAATTCTATCCAAGTTGTAGCATTTCAGCCTGCTCTACATCCCATTATCACAATCTAATTTTCTTTGATACAGTCAAAAATTGAAAATTATTGTAAAATAATATGGCGAATATGGTATCCATGTCTTAGTTAAATCATGGCTTCCAGTAATTACTGATGACAGGTACCAATTTATGGGCCAATTACAATTATATTTTGGAGAAGAAAACTGCTTAATTTTGTGTTAAAAGCCCTTAAAATCCTCTACCTTGGGGCCGAGCAACTGACTCAATATACGCGATACATTTTCAAACAATTTAAACCTGTCATTCTTCATCTGGAAATGGAGACCGGTGTCCCAAGCTGTATTATATGGTGTCTGGATAAAACCAGACTTTTATTTTATAAAAGTTATGTGTAGTTAAAATTTACTTTACATTATCAAGTACAGCATGTGGGGCATGCACTGTAAAGAACTCTAAAGGAATGGCAATAGATTATCAGGTCACTGAACGAAAAAATTGACCAAAATCTTAAAGGGGTTATGTGTCCAGATAAGTGGTTTTGACATTCACATCTAAATGACTCAATATTTTGGCTAAAATTTTGAGAGAAGGTGAATACACCATTCCTCTATATTTTGGCGTTTAAATTTCATACGTATACAGACTTTTAATTCTTAAACTCTGTCAAAATCTGGATGGTCCCTGTAAAACAGTCCTTATTTGGCTGGATTTTCCCAAAATCTTGGTATGTGTGTTGCACTGAATATTCATTTTGGATCTGCATAGGGCATAGCAATGTGTATAATACATTTTTATGACCCCCTCTCCCCCCCACCAACACCCAGCAAAACCAACAAAATGAAAGAAAACAATAAAAAATTGTTATAAATAATGTATTGGCAACAGATATAATTATTACATGTTACATTTCCATATTACATTGATCATATAAATCGTAAAATAATCTTTAACCCAGCAGATAGTAAGCAATGAAAACTATTAGGTCATAGAAACAAAAAGATAGGTTGCCAGGCAACGAAACATACGCCCCCAGCAGCTAAATCGTACGGGCACTCAACAAGTGTTGTCGCATATTTGTTACTTTTTTTGGGTAATGAAACATTTATAATACACTAAAATCTGATTAAGTAATTATCAATCTGAAGTCAATCGGATGATAACTTTAGCCTCTAGGGCGTCACAAGTTTTTTCAAAGTGATCAAGGGCCATAAGTTTGGCAGTAATTATCGGAAATCGTTGAAAATCGATAGGATTCTTTGTCTCATGACCTTAAACACTGTGTATAAATTTAAAGTCAATCGGATATTAACTTTAGCCTCAAGGGCCATAACTCTGGAAGTAATTATTGAAAATCGCTGAAAATGAATAGACATCTTCGTCTCATGACCTTAAACACTGTGTATAAATTTAGAGTCAATCGGATATTAACTTTGAAATATTTGTCTTTATCAATGAGTTCTAGTCAGAATATCATATCCCCTAATACCATTTTCTGACATAATGCTGTGAGCCTGTCAAATAGTATTCTACCATGTGCCAAAATATCACAGCTCTGTATTTTTACTCTAAAAATAACTGATTAACACCAATGTCTGTCAATGCCATAGTATTGATAATTACTATATCCTGGCAGTATATATAAGTGACAAATGAATCAATTTGACACTGCTATAATTATGTAAGTTCGGTTACATACTGTGTTATCTGCAAAGGAAATCATATTATTTTCTAAATTTATTCTATCTGCCATAAGAAAGTCTTTCTTCCCATGCCAAATTCTAGAAATACAGCTACTATCTATATCATTAAAGTCCTTATGCATCATTATAGCGCTACATAATCCCTTAGAAAATATAAAATTGTAAAAGATGAATCAAGAACAGGAATGTCAGTTCAAAATTGGTTCATTTTCATTCAGTATTTACAAAAATATTTGGAATTAAAATTTCACTGATCTCTGCTCTTTGCTATGTAATAAGCCCCCTGCCATTTTGTTGTCCAAGAAAATTTAATGACAGACCTGTTGTAAATACGATTTAATCCAAGTCGGGACATTATCTAGCAGTGGTATTTTTATTTTGTTTTCTTACCGTAATTAAATGTTAAATAATCAATCTAAGTATATATTAGCACAGACTAAGCTGTGAAAAATTTGATATTTTAGTGAACCAGCGGCTGCCAGGCAGGATACGCCCACATTTTCGAGAGATGGATAGAGAACAAGCTAACAAGAAAGTGATTTTTCCTACTATCAAGGGCCATAATTCAGGAAATTACAATTCAATATGCGCGAATATCGAAAGGAACTGAGATCTTTGTGTTATAAACTTACATTTCAAGTTTCAACAAAATCGGATAAAAATTGTGACCTCTATAGGGTCAACAACCTTGATATACCATATTTTTACGCTATTTGAGAACGAACGGCGGCCATTTTGTCTGTCAATTTTGGGCCGATTTTCACGAAATTCGACCTCAACCTTCCTTAGGGTGTAACGGTGATATAATAATACGGTTTTTTAAATCGGATAAAAATTATGACCTCTATAGGGTCCACAAGCTAAAAACGTGATTGTTCGTACAATCAGGGGCCATAATTCAGGAAGTTACAGTCCGATATGCGCGAATATCGAAAGGAACCAAGATCTTTGGGTTATAAACTTACATTTCAATTTTCAACAAAATCAGACAAAAATTGTGACCTCTATAGGGTCCACAACTTTGATATACCATATTTTTACGCTATTTGAGAACGAACGGCGGCCATTTTGTCTGTCAATTTTGGGCCGATTTTCACGAAATTTGACCTCAACCTTCCTTAGGGTGTAACGGTGATATAATAATACGTTTTTTTAAATCGGATCTTTGGGTTATAAACTTACATTTCAAGTTTTAAAAAAATCGGATAAAAATTGTGACCTCTATAGGGTCCACAAGCTAAAAACATGATTTTTCGTACAATCAGGGGCCATAATCCATAAAGTGTCGATCCGATACATGCCAATATCGAAAGCAGCCAAGATCTTTTGGGGATAAACCTATATTTCAAGTTTCGTCAAAATCGGATAAGAATTCTGACCTGTAGAGAGTCCACAAACAATTGTGGACGGACGGACGGACAGGGGCGACAGCATAATACGTCCACATGAAAATGTGGGCGTATAAAAATACTAATGATTCATCTTTACTTTAATATTATATGGTATTTGGTGGGGTTTTTTTTCTATTCACAGAAAAAATCTTGAACTTTGCTTTTCTCAAAACTGTTTTTTTTAGGTAAGTAGTTTGGCATTCGCTCCCCATTATGTGTATAAAATCGGTTAAAAAATTACCAATAATATAACAAATATAACTCATATCAAACAATAACAATATCATATACTGATATCATCAAAAAATAACGATATAACAAATCTATGTCATGGAATAATATAAATACATTTCTCTGAGAAATTAATAAATATTATGTTAAAATGATACTAAGATTTGAAGAAAAAATCTATGGATTTAGTATTATTACTACCATCATTTTTCCTCTTCTTAGAAGCAGGTTCTGTTTTCGAACCAATTGCACTTGGTCTAAAATTAGAAATAAAAATGAGTTAAAATTACATGGTAAGGAGTAGTTCCAAATTTCACAGTGTAACCATTGATAAAAGTGGGTTTTAAGAATTCAGATTTAACGCAAAAATCTGAAGAAAGAGTCCAAATAACGTGTCTATGACAATTTCTGCTCAAAACATTGAGGCTTTCAGAATTATCATCAGATTTTCTTAACAGGGCAATTTAACTTCTTTAAGGAATTCCAAATTTCAAAGCAAACCTTTTCTTTTTCAGTCCATTTTGGTTGACTGTACAAATATTCTTTTGTTCTTTTAAAATTTCCTTTATAGCACCCTGGCTAAGACATGAATCAACATGGAAATTAAACTCATCTAAGGTACAACCAACTCTTTCTAAACTACATACAGGACAGACATAAGTTGTCTCCCTTGCCACATCATTTAAAGTACTGGATGAACAGGGTTTTGATTCATTTGAAGCAGACTTCAGACCTAAAAATACAATAATATAAGATGTTTTTCTTAAATGAAAGGAACTTGATTTTCCTCAGGCGATCTATGTTTTCTTATAAATCTATATCTGTAAACAGTTATCTCTTAAATTATATGGGGGGATGGATGGCCGAATGGTTAGCACACGCGCGCTGTATCACGAGGCATGTCATTGAGTCAACTGGCATGGTTTCGAATCCCCGGTTGTACGTGACAAGGAGTAGGGTTGTCTGTCCAACCTCGTGGGTTTTCTTCGGGTCCTCCGGTTTCCTCCCACTGCTAAAGACCCCTACGCGCAAGCGAATTATTGAAATAAAATTAAACCATATGTAGGTCCCGAAATGACCTAGTCTGTGTCGAGTGGATGTTAAACTCCATTTCTCTCTCTCTCTTAAATTATATATCTTAAAAGCGTATTCCATAAGAGATAAATCTGCCATCTTCAAGTTCATAAGGTGGAATACACAGAAGATCTTCAGAGATTGGGAAAACCATAGTCTAACTTACTATTGCAAATAAAAGTAACTGGCTAGAACCAAAGTAGAACAATCACCGAACTCAGTCTAGGCATTCACCTGATGAACATCTACGTCAATTAGAAGGAGATTTATTGTGTCCATAAATATTGTGCCAGATATAAGGATGAACAGACATATGAACCCTTCATAATAGTCACCCACTTTCTTTGAAAGGTTGGGGACAAAAAAACACAAAAAAACCCTAACTTACTATCTGGCATTGTCACATTAACACAGCAATTTCTTTCTGGTTTCTTTTCTTCATCTAGAGAAAGGTTTAAGCTTGGTAGCTCTACTGGTTTATGTTGAATATTGTCCAATCTAGATGAAATTGTTGATTCACTTATTAAACATTTTTCAACATGTCCATTCATTTCATTTAAAGTGGTGCATTGAATCTCTTTACTGCACACAGGACACATAAATCTTGAAGCTTTAGAAAACAGCTGTTGTAAACTATCTTTGTTAGGACCTACAACTGTCTTATTAGTTTTCTTAGGTGAAGTTTTCTTTGGTGATGTGGATTTCATTAATTTAGAACTAAAAGTACTTATGTCTGATTTTGTGTTAGAAATATTGCTGTTGAGAATTTTTCCACTCTCTTGATTTTGCAATGGTTCGATTTCACAGCTTTCATCATTAATAACTACAGTTTCTGTACAATGTTCACCACTGGTAGCTGCAGCTAGCAGCGGCTTACACACCATCTTTTTAATAAAACTGGAAATAGTATTCTGTTTAGATTTTGGACACAAACTCTGATGTAAAAGATTTGACATACGCACTCCTATTAGAAAAAAAAGAAAAAGATTTTGAAAGCTTGCTTGAATATCACTTTAACTCATTCAATGAATTTGGTAAATGAAAATATTAATAGTACCACACAATTGGGTAGATCAAACCTATTTCAAAATTCTACAAGACAAATATAAATGAGAAAATTCTAATAATTTACTTACCCATCAATCTGAGTACCAATGGTCTGGGCAGAGCATTTTGTATTTCTGTGCGTAACAGTTCTTTACATGCAGCAAATATAATTTCTTGATCCCATGTGTAATCACGTAGAGTGTGGGCACGTGTTTTAACTTCAAATGTTGCCGTCTTTATTTTAAGAGTTACAGTCTTTCCCTTTAAAATCAAATACATGAAACGAAAGGTTTAAAGTATTATTTATATGTGTATATTTTACCAAATTAATTTAAAAACATAGAGCATCTGGTATATTCTGACATATTTCTAGCATATCATCAAATTTGGCCGGATCCAATGGACCCATTAAATTAATTTGAGTATTACAATAGCAATTTACACATAAAGCTATATACTCCTCACATTATTTCATTTGTTAAATAAATCTACACTCAACGTTGCTTTTCCAATACATAAATTTTGTGTTTAACTGACACATCTGTAGCTTATTGGACAATCAAATACCTTGCTTCAATATAGTTTCAAAACGATGATTACACCAATAACAACATTACATCCAATCACACAACAAAACAAATCTTCCAATAAAACAATGCAATTTGAAATCAACATGACATCTGTAGATTGCAGAAACAGAATTACTGGCAGTGGATACAGTTTATATATATCAATATTTATAACACAATATACTATACCTTTAATTCTTCTGATTTTAGATCAGCAACCAATGCTTCACTCAATTCAAAACATTTCTCATATAAATCAGCTGGTTTACTCATATCTCTAAACGTCCTTAAAAAAATACACAAAAACAATTATAATACTCTTATAATACTATCAATAAAGCAGATCATTGACCATGCAAATATTTTCTTTCTTGATGTATGTTCACTATTTTACTGATGAATTAGCCATGATACACTTAGTGTGATACTAAAACATATGTTAAAATCAACAACATTAGCATTAGCCTTTTACCTGTTTGTAAAAAAACAGATTTTCGATTTGACTATACATGCAGTTACGTCAGGGGTGTCCAAATCAGATTGTCTGCAAAATTTTAAACAATTCTGCAAAGCCATGTTTAGATGAAGACATTTGAACAATGACTTTACAAGTCATACACATTTTTAGTGGCTTTTAAGATGTTTAAAGATATGCCCACATTTTGCAAGAAATGTATTGAGAACAAGCTAAAAAAAAAGGTGATTTTTTGTAACAATCAGGGGCCATAACCCCAGAAGTTATGATCAGAAATGCGTGAATATCGAAATGGACCGCGATATTTGGGATATAAAGATATATTTTAAGTTTCATCAAAATTGGATAAAAATTGTGACTTCTAGAGGGTCCACAACCTGAATATAGAATACTTTTACACTATTTACGGACGAGGGGCGGCCACTTTGTCTGGCAGTTTTGGTCCGATTTTCACAAATTTCGAACTCAACCATGAAAATGTGGCCGTATAAAATTTAATTACATCTATTTTCTTGGTGAAGGTGATAATGTCTCTTTAAGAACATATTACCATAGAATAAAAATATCAAGAACATACCTTTCTGTACTCATACTCTTTCTCTCTGTATCTCTATAATAACAGAAATACAATGTTTCATGAGTATATTATTCAATATAAGGATCACTTTTCTGAATGGACTTTTGAAAATTTGAGTATAAGTAACAAGGAAATGTCAGATCTATCTATCAATTATGGTCAAGTTAAAGGAATTTCATTGTGAACTAAATACTGTGATGAAATCAGAATAGTAGAATGTTTTGATTTTGTTACGGCATGGTTGGTTTCAACAATAACATTTAGACTGATTAAGAAAAATTAAATCTGGTCAATTACCACTTACCTTTCAACAGTTGTAGATCCAATACCTAGACAAATTCTCATGAAATAATTAAATGATATATCAGAATAAAGATGATACAGAAGTGCTCTCTTCTCGTATAAATCTGTACAACTGACAATATTCAGGGCATTTAACATTTGTTCTGTTACTTTACCAATACCAGATATCTATAAAATACATAAACATACTATTACTTTACCAATACCAGATAATATTGATAAAATACATAAACATACTGTTACTTTACCAATACCAGATAATATTGATAAAATACATAAACATACTGTTACTTTACCAATACCAGATAATATTGATAAAATACATAAACATACTCTTAATTTACCAATACCAGATAATATTGATAAAATACATAATACTTCTGTTACTTTACCAATGACAGATATCAATAAATACATTTATACATACAAGATTATAAATTTTAATGAAAAATATTTTGTTTCTGAATTATGTTCACTAACATCAGGAAGACATAGTCCATCGAGCATTCATGCCCCCATCCTCGCACCCACACCACCGCCCAGATGAACTGTATTGCTTAGTAGATTCTGTCAAGAAATCACCAGTTGACAACTGAACAGAATGGACATTGATACTGATAGAGGACTGAAGTTCGACAGAATTCTAAAAGAAAAAATATCAAAACATGTCCTTTTTTCCCCAATATATGTATGCAGAAATCTGGTTGTGGATTTGATCCTCATATGAAAATGGATTCAGGTTCCAAATATAGTTGCACTGTACATATAATTTTTACCTTTCTAATTGGAAGATCCTTTATAAACATTTGTATGGCATCTCTTGTAGGTAAAATTCTAAACTGTCCATTTGGTTTGTTTTTATCTGAACATACTTTCGATAACATCATATTTGGTGCAATGCCTAAAATCAAGGGTACAATAATATCAAAATTTGTCATAGAGACCATCATACAAAATTATTTAACACATAATAATGCACTTAATTGTTAACAGAGATTGACTACCTGCTGTTGAATGGCAGTTCGCACAAAACCGTTGATGTGCAGGTATATTCTTGTATGGCCCTTTCTCTATTTCAAAGGGCTTAGCGTGATGACTTACAGACTTAACAGCTATGTAATGGGCCTACTATGCAGCTTCTCTCCCAAAATTAATAATGTCTCATCAGGATTTTGAGACAAACATTGTAATATTTATTTGGTTATGTGTGAATGTGAGGATTAAGTCAAGACAGCACTATTTCTGCACACACTTTATAGAATTCCTACGCCCTTGTGATCTTTTCCATGCATTACAAATAGAATGACAAAACACACTTTGCTTGTCAGTGTTTGTATTACTCTACCTGCACTAGCTGTTAGTCGAGTTCTTTGTTCTATTCTACATCTCATTTCATTAACAGCCTCTTCTATATCTTTACCAAATATACGTATATCATATGGTGGGTAGGGTTTATTACACACAGGACAAATATCACACATCTGTTTTTCTAATTGAGATGAATCAGAGAAGAGTGAAGAATTCTGTGAAATCATAACTGCCTCTTCTATTCCATCATCAATGGTCAGATTTGAAGTCATTTTATTTTGAGCTTTATTAGAATTGCTATCAATAATATTGTGCGATACACTTTCAGGCTCATTAACAATGTCTGTCTGCCCCAAAATCACTGATTTTCTAAGATGTGCATTTAAATCACAAATGCATAATGTATTGTCATCAGAAGAACAATCTTTGGTTAAGAATGTTCGGTCTTTTTCGGAAGAATCTTGACGTAAAATTAAATGTTCTGTAAAGTCTAAATATGCTTCATCAAGACTCATGGGACAGTAATTGGGGTCATATTCAGCCATGACAGCTCTTATTTCTTTACTGACAGCCCGGTATTTATCAAAGTTGGAATTAACAATCACCAAATCTGGACAAAGTTTTAAGGCAATGAAGCCTGGCATTGCTGCTCTTACTCCATATTTTCTGGCAACATAATTAGATGTAGACTAGAAAAGAAGAAGAAACCAATAATAAAAATTACTACAAATAATAGTTTCATTACATATTCAGTTGATAAAAAAGGATTCTTTTTAAGAAAATTTGTTTATATCTGATATGTTTTGATTAGAGATTAACCTTTGATTCAATATCCATTTCTGCATTTTTTACATAAGCTGTTCTGTTCATTGTTCTGCTTTTGGGGGGATCACATGGCTAAGTGGGTAACACGCTGGCTCACTAGCCCGAAGGTCGGGTGTTGGCATTGGCCGAGAAAGTTCATCCAGATTTTCAGGTGTGGTTTCCCCCTTGTCAGTGATGCAGGACGGAGGGCCTGACAAGGACAGCTGTCTAGTCGTTCGGATGGGATGAAAAACCGAGTTCCCGTGTACATATTGGCTTGCACGTAAAAGATCCCTTGGCAGTTGGAATTCAATATAAGAGTAGGCCGTAGTGCCGCTGCCCTGGCAAAATTTCCCTCATAGCATACTGTGTGGCGTATGCTCGTCTTCATTAGCCCAGTTTAGGAGCAGAACAGTAGAACGTTAAACCCCATTTCATTTCATTGTTCTGCTTTTGGTTTTAAATAGATTTAAAATAAAAATCAATATGGGGATAATTTTCAAATCTTATTAACACTTTTAAATTACTAAAGGTTATATCAAAAAGCTACATTATTCAAGAGCTAAATTTGCCTATTGCAGGTCTTTCTTTAGGCCTTTAATGTTATATAAATTATCAATTAGACATTAATTAACATGACAAGACCATAATCAACTCTTGATCCCATCCGATACTTAAGATTTTAACTAGATTAGAACGGTTCGGCCATTTAATGATTTAATTCAAAAATGGAAAAGGGAGGCTAAGACTCAAATATACCAGTACCATGGATACAATAATAAACAACCAATGCACACATCCTGTCAAAACTGCAAACAGTGATTAAGTATTTTGAATACAATTTTCAATATATTCATTTTGCATTATCTATTTTTAAACTATTATAGTAAGACCAGCTCTTTATCTAAATCTTACATAATGTATCTTAAGTTTTAAAACAATGTTAAAAAGAAAAATTCATCAAAATAGATTTAAAATATTATCTATATATTACCAGCATACTCATTCCACCTACTGCCATAGGTTTATGTCTTAAAGACGGATCATCTTTCATTTCCACTGCAGCGTAAAAGGCATCCATATCTACATGTACGATAGTACGACTCAAATCAAATGAGTCTTCAAGGGCTTCTAGTAAGGCATCTCCCTGGAGAACAATAGGAAAATTGTTACTTATCTTTTTTCTGTTGTGTTAAAAGTAAGATTTGTCTGGCAACAGGTGGCAGGACCAGAAAACAATGCCAAAACAATCCACTCATATGACAAATTGGAATAATTCAGCCGTTCAAATTTAAGTACCCATACATCTATATACTATGTACCTCTTTTAATCCTTGTTGTAATTGTTCAGCTGATATATTTTCCAGTCTCTTTCTTTGTTCTTCTATTCGTTGTTTCATTTGTTCTTCTTTCTTCTTTTCATTTTCATAAAACCTTGATCCTATAGCAATACCAAAAATATTTCAAAATTCTGCTGATATGGGACGCAAAGCAGTCACCCTTTGTGGGACTATTGAACTTACATAACAGGGTAAGCTTATAATTGGTAACCTCTTACACATGAATAACCAAAGATATCAAAGGATTTAATTTTGAAACATTACCAATACATAAGGCAACACAAATAAAATAACTTGTTTCTCGGGCACCGCCCGCACGCAAAATTGGTTGCGCGTGCAGTCTATTTATTAGTCTTGATGAAAAAAAATAAATATGTAACGCCCGCCCGCACATCGACAAGCAAGTCGTAAAAAAAATATCCCGCATGTACCTACATCCGCCATACATGTATATCTATTCAAATGTATTAAAACTGATTCAGATGAACATGCTGTCTTTTTTATCCGAACAATGGCGAAGTTTGGCAGATTTGCCTTTTTTATTGATATCGAAAGAACCTCCATTTTGTATCACGTGATATTAATTACCTCCCCTGATAAACTAGAATTTGATTCGTGTTAAAAGTCATTGGCGACAATATTTCAATCATTCGATCGTAATCGGCTCATTATTGCCGGCTTCAGTCGGTCCTTGTTTGGAAAATCCTATTGATAAAATAATGAACCGTAGAACAGGTTAATTAATTATAGCTAAGAATACGATACGATGACGATAGTCGTCATAATGCATACCTTAGAATCTGGGTCATTATTAGCACATTTACGGTAGTTTCGATAATCCGGAAAATAATAATTGGATTACCGATTTGATGGTTTTACTGACCAGTTGTTAGTTAGATTTAAATAGTCATTCAATATAAACACCGGATAGAACACCGAATATCCTGAGAAACACACCGAATATCCCAAGAAACAGTATTTCCGGCAATCTCCAATACCGATGACACGGTGTGACATGCATTGGTTGGAATTCGGTAAATAATTATAAATAAACCGGCGATACTAGATTTAGTTTTAAATACTGTTTACCATGATTATTATTTTTGATACACCTGGTGAAAGAGGCTTAGTTTTTAAAAATATTGTTGTCTTTATGGAGGGCTATTACATAGTCGTATGGAATTTTATTTTAAACCAATTTCAATTATGTGAATTAAATATGGAAAATTATTTTCCTTTCAGTCAGTGTTCAGTCTCAGTGTTTTAGTAGACTTGATTTTGGGTTTATGTTTTAAGTATGTACAATAAAGTTGAATATAACGGAAAGCAAAAACGTAAACAAGTAATGACTTTCTCATTTAAAAAAAAAAAAAAAGAAAGACCGCCCTCCCGCCCCAACAATTTTCAGCAATAGCCAAATTTTATTTTGCACCATCAATGAGTAAAAAAAAAAAAGAAACCGCCCTCCCTCCCTACAGTTTCAGCTGTCAGTTGCCCGAGAAACAAGACATTTATTTTGTGTGGCCTAAATTGGTGAATAAGTTCATGTGATCTCATGTTCCTGAAGCAACGACTGCAAGTTTTACATCTAGCCATTGCTAGATTAGTCTGAAATAGCATAATCATAGAGGAAAAGCTGAGTTTGAAGTGGTAAAGTCCCAGCAATCTTGACATTGAATGAACCTTGAACTTTGCAACTCGATTATCACAGCCAGACATTTCATTAGGAAAGCGCCATGATTGGTATTCGCAATGATATTTTCTATCAAGGAATCTGAGAGGGTCTAGAGCTGGGTTCTAGAACAATCGAAATTACAGTATTATGTGAAGACCTTGATAAGATCTATACTCTGACCTCAAAGAAAAAATATGTCAATGTAGTAGAACATTTAAAATGAAACGAAGCATAATTAACATTTGATTTTAATCAGATTGTCATTCACCCCATGTGTATGCCACAAAAAGTTAAAACACTAGTTAGTTTCATCATAACATTACTTTTACAATAAATACACATACCTTTTGAGGCTTCATATATAATTTTATTTATTTTTGCTTTATCAAGACCTTCCATTCCTGCTTTATGGTCATTTAATTCCATTCTTGTCATTAAGGAATCAGTTTGTTTGTTTTCTGGACACTTGGCAACATTTTCGGTTGAAGTATCTGTAACTGATAATTTAACTATATGTATATATAGCCTACCTTACACTAATTACCATGTCATATTCTCATGAATGAATAAATACATAAATATAGTGCTAGATAATATTGGTGTGGTCTACAGATCATCTATATGTACTATTATGGATCTAAAACATGTACAAATATCTGAAGACAGGACAGACAACTTTACCAACCAAGGCTGCAGCATATATTGCTACTCGACACTTTATAACAATTTAAACAATGGACACCACCTTGTAATAATTAATGTAAAATTTATGTAAAAGTATAAGCCTTTATTTCCACAATGTACATGTATTGGAGTATGGAATCCTCACAGTTGAATGCCAACAAAAGATCCAAGGTACAATGTAGGTCTGTGGGTTGGGTATGGCTCACTAACAAGAAGGTTTTCCAACTTGGTTTCCGCTTGTCATTGGTGCAGGACAGAGGGCCAGGCATTGAAAAGCATCTAGTCATTCAGATGGAACAAAAAGCTGAGGTCTGGGCAAACTTTCCCATGTAGCACACTACATGGCATTTATCCATCTTCATAAGCCACATCGATATATGTAGGATATATGATTTTTTTCTTTAATTTATATTATTCACTGATTGCCTACCTTGTGAAATATCATGTTTTTGTGGACTGCTTACATTTTCTTCTTGCTTTGGTTTGATTGAATTTTCCCAGTCCGTAGTTTTCCAGTCTTCTTCATCATCATCACTGTTATCAAACAAATCTTCATCAGACTCCATTGTCAATTTTTTTAATCTTGCAATTCTGATATAATTAAAAAAATATAAAGTACCACAAACCTTGTATTGTCATAATTCATCTTGAGAAACGAAACAATATCTGCTCAACCTCTGGGGTAAGTTTGATCACTTTTCAGACTGAAGCCCAATGCAAAATAAAATCTAAAATAACAGTTAGCGACAGGATACCTATAATGGTATCTCTGAATATTGCCATTGCAAATCTGCAAAAGCTCATGTATATGCATTGAATGGTTGATGTTATACAAATTTTGACTAATGGTTTGTATCATCTTGAAGAGAAGAGCAACAATCAAAATTTCTTGTGACAAAACATCATTTGTAAGTGTAGCCTCAAAAACTATTGAAAATTCTTCTATAATTTCTATTTGCAGTACCATAGGAATTTGTGCCTTATCAAGTTTTAAACATTCTTTTATGTTTTTACCATTTGTTTATTCTACAGATATTTACCGTAACTCCTGCAGTTCTTACCTTGTAGAGATTTATAAAAATAATTCATCAATAAGCCTACATTACAATCATCCCATGGCCTAGTTCGGCTCTGAACGTAGGTCTCATTACACTCGGCCTCTATGTTCAGGGACTCTCCTATTGAATCCTTGTCAAAATTTTTTAACAGCGTGTTGTGTCGCTCATACTTACTCTAGCGAGGTAAGCAAGGTCTTATTTTCTCACTAAGATGTTCATTTATATTGTTCAGGCATTCACAGGGACTGACACACGACCATTTAGCAGTAAAAAGTTGCCCAGTAAAATTGACTGGGAAGCCATTGGAATTTCGACAAGGATTCAATAGGATAGAGTCCCTCATGAACGTAGAGGCCAAGTGTAATGAGACCTACGTTCAGAGCTGAACAACCCATGACCCAGACAACATCCACATTAATCCTAATTTATAACTTAGTGCAAGCTATTAATATTATTATAATTTATATATATATTCAGTTCTAATCTGAATCAGTGAAAGAAATATATATATATATAGGGCCTTAATGTTGACAAATAGAACTATAGCTCGAAGCCTGATCAGGTTCCAGATCTTGGGTGAATGGAAAGTGAATGTAAAAATATTTTCACAATTATATGGTAACGGTAAACAAACTAACAATTTGTAAAGCGATGATCCCCACCTCCCCACCCCCATCGTTCAGGAAAATATGATCAAAAATAAATCATATTGTTTGTCTCTTTCACGCTATGTCAGTCATATACATTTATCATATACAATACATATAATTTAATACACGCAGAACATATATGTTTTAAGAAAATTATGTTTTAAAAATGCCTACATTAAAAAAATATAAAGACGACATAGATTCTACTCAATTAAGTTTTCATCTTTCACAATCATTGCGCTTTTCATTTTTAAGGGACGTAACTGAGATACCTCGAATTTTTCGCTATAAACTTAGTTTGGATAATCGAGGCTAAACAAAAATCTCAATGAAATAAATGTCTAGGGGAAATAACTTCATTTTCCACTACGATTTCGGGATCAGACTAGTCATTGCTGGTTCAAAATATTATCATTTGCCTCACATCGCTGTATTAGCCCAATAACTTTGAGGGAATACTCGTATCATGTTACAAAATTTATATAGCTCTGCTTTCACTTACGTGTTCAATGACGCTTTACAGAACAGAACCGTTTTTTACAATAAAGCCATGACATGACATAAAACCAAGAACTAAAATAATATCGCAACAAAAGAAGAACATGGAACAATATATCACAGGAAAACCAGAAATATATACACAGTAATAATACAAACATAAAAAAAAAAGAATATGAAAAGGTTATAATATTATACTATGAAGGACAAGTCTCTAAAAATGAATGGAAACAGTGGTACAAGATCTAATATAATGAGATGGTTTATTATACAAAAAAGGGGGTTTGAACAATAAAAGTTTGGCAGATTTTGGTTTTAAAATAATTTTGTCATCATGATAATCGTTCTTGGCGAAAATCTTAAATTTTTAGACCAGGAACTGGTCGCTAACCGCTAGTCATAGCTGGTTCCTGCTCGTCTTATCGTTCTTCTTCTCGGGGTGACGCTCTTCTTCGTGTTTGTCTTCTTGGGGTGACGCTCTTTGAAAAGCCCAAGGCTCCGTAAATTAAAGTCCGATCGACATTAAAATTGGCATGCTTCTTCTTTGAAAATTCTGCACCGATTTGGTGATTTAGAATTTTAAATTTCATCAAATAACCAGGGTCAGTTCCTGGTCCATAGTGGGTTTAAAATCGAACAAGAAATATTTGTTTAACTCGGTCGGAATGTTTCCTTATTTCTCGGATTTTTCATTTATATTCTTTTTCTTTATATATAATTAAAATAAATGTTATTTCGTGTTGTTCAATCACACCTGAATAAAACAACTCGGCACGAAAAGTACTTCAAGTTCGTCATTCTTTACGAACCAAATCACTGACACCCGAAAGGAATCATCAGAATCTAATGCCCCACTGGAGCCTAATAATTTAGTATCGATTACATTATCATATTCACATCTTAATTAATTTACGCAAGTCACCGAATCGCCAGTCTCTTCCTTATTGATGGTCTGCATGCAAAACTTGTCCCATTGATCCAGTAATCACTAGCTTACTGATAGATTGTGCGGAAAATCTGACGCCAAATATTACAGATAATTATGATCTATTCCAGATTTCGACAGTCAGAAGTTCTAGACATATTTAAAACGGTAAATGCAACTCCAATTATTAAGAAACCTTGCCTATTATAGACCCAAACAAACTGAAAAACTATAGCCCAGTCTCAAACTAAATTTTGTGTCAAAAATTCTTGACAAATGCATAGCTCAACAACACCTGGAATACTTGGACCTCTATGAGCAGCAAGAAACATTTCGAAAGCGCTTACATAGGAAGTAATCTCTATCGATCGACTTAATATCTCGATTGACCGACATAGTATCTCGATCGATCGGACGCACTCCCGTCACTCCCATGGATGAGAGAGTATCGACGGTCAGGCGGAAAGGTGCGATCCGACACGACCGAGTCGGGGTACATAGCGGTTGAGTGAAAACCAGAAGTGCGTTTCCTGCAGCTCCCGACTACCCTGAATCGCTGGTTTGAGGAGAAGGATGGTGCACGAGACCGTCATAGAAAAAGTCGATCGATCGAGATACTAAGTCGATCGATCGATATACTAGGTTGATCGTTCGAGATACTAAGTCGATCGATCGAGATAATTTGGGAAAAATAAAATCATAGTATTTCCTTTCCCAGCCACCGTAGCAGAGTGTGTACTAAACATTATCCGTAAGTTCAACAGTCGCCATGTGTTGGACTATTTACGTGGTATTGTACATAATATTCACCTGTGATAACTTTGTGTCATTGAGTGCTATTATAGTCAGTCAGTTAGTCACTTAGTAAGTGCTATTATAGACAATGTGTTAAGTAAACTGAACCTGTGTGATAATAATAAAGAATATTGAATTTTAAGTATTGGTTAACTTTAACAAAAAGGACACAATCATCGGCAGAAAAACAAATGATATCATCGGCAGTTGTCCCGCCGGAATTTGTCCTCGCCGGCAATTGTCCGCCGGCAGTAATTGTCCCGCCGGCAACTCTCCTGCTCCCAAAATGACAATGATAAAACTGAAAACACCATATTTAGATTAACTTGTAATTTGAATAAAGTGCCTAACAATACATGTTTGTATACTGGAGACGCTTAAATAGTACATTTTGATAGCGCTAGAAACATTGGTGTCATATTTAATGATAAAATGCAATTGCAAATCAGAAAATACGAAAAACCTTTGGATAAACTTATAAAAGGTACCGATCTCCGCGGCTAGTTTACTATCTCGCTCCAAGAAACGTGATTATATACCCTGTATACCCCCCCCCCATTCTGCTCAATCTACACTGGCTCCCCATCTTGTATAGGATTAACTTTAAAATTGTGTTACTTGTTTACAGATATCTCAATAATACTGATCCGCCTTATCTCTGTAATCAACTTGAAGTTCATGCCCCTGCAATGAATCTTTGTGATCTTCAGTGTCAGATAGATACCCTTTGAAGCCCATATCTGTATAATTATCAGCCTATGGGGGGGGGGGGTATTTTCTCACCAAGCTCCTAAATTGTGGAATGATCTGCCTTTGGCTATTCCAGCCAGACCGTCTCTTAAAACACATCTGATTATGAAAGCATACAATGTATAACCTCAAATATTAATTTATTTTATACGTTTTAATTACGTTTCATCAGTCAAATTTCTCTTATCTTAATCTTATTCATTGTTTTGAACTTGCTTTAATGCTCTTAAATCACTATCTTTTAATGCGTGTTTTCTTTTGTTTATTCATATCATACTTGTTTGTTCAATTTTATCCAGTTGTTTTTGTAAATCGCATCAGGGCAATTAAGCTATTCAACACATAGAAAATGATTATTATGTATCTTTATTATTTAAAATCTACATTGGTTTAATCTCTCTTTAACAAATTAAAGTAATAATTATTCCACCTGGTTCGTAAAGCCAACCCATACGTCGTGAAGATTCTTCATACTGGGATGTGCTTTATTACATAATAAAACAAGTATTTATATTAAAATAGTACATTTTTCTTTACTTTTGGAATTCTTGTTTGTTGTGTCTTTAACTAAATATGTAAACATTTCAGATTTTCACAAAATCATAACTGATAAGAAATAAAACCCTTATCAAAAATATGATAGGAAATTCTAAGGTATAATGTATACTATATATACAACCCATAAAACCCTCTAAAGAAATCACCTTGGAAACATGTAGCAATTCATTTTATCTGGAGTGTATTTTTGTAAGAAAATTGTATAGTGCCAGATACGATACTCGATAGGTCTTCACTGAAAATATATAGCTAGCGCAGGTGGAAAAACAGTTAGAACTTATTTACTTGCACCGCTTTTTACAGCCTAATTTTCAACTTGCACGTCTGCAAGCGAGGGAAACTTTATCGTCTGGTTATGAAAAACATCATTTTTGTTATTCTATATCATACTTCCATGTTTCGTTCAGCACAGTTGAGTTGAAGATAACCCGAAACTAGCGACGTTTGTAAATTTGAGAGGTTTTCGTAGTTGTGGAAAGTTTTAATATTCTTAAATATCTACCGGGATTCACATAATGGATTTCTTACGTCTGAGCAACGAGACGGTAAGTTAACTCAAATATGAATATTAATCTTAATGGCTTTTCTAAACGGCATGATAGCATAGAGCTTTTATTATCAATCAAAATAAGAATAAACGCAATTAGTCTGTATAAACTCATTAAGATACATATTGTACACAATGGATTGCTTAGTTTAATATCGGATCATTTAACTACATATATACTAGAACCCGAGGTAATAAATTGGCTAAATACGTTGGGGTAATATGCCATACTAGACCTCCTACAACACTATAGGGGGTGGCAGACATTTCTATTTAACAGCACTCTTTATTTTGAACGCTGCCAATGCTTAAGAAGTAGGCCCCATATCTAACAGAAACTGTCTGACCCCGTTACATCATTAGTTTTGTGGAGAAAATGTATATCTGTGTGTACGAGTATCTTGTTACATCTCTCTAGCAAAGTGTTGAAGGATGAATCACACAGTACAAACGAGAGCTCTGAAGTATTATCTTAGAAGCCTACTTCAAAATCAAAACCTAACTGATTTTAATCTATGTAAATAAATAAACAAATAAGACATCAATTCCGATTGCATAAAATATAGGTCTATCGATTCTACTAAAGGACAATATTGGCTATTTTTTTTCTCTGTCTTATTTCAGACAAAAAATGATTCGGAATCTCTTGGTGATTTTTCGGTGAGTAAATGTTCACAAATAACTGCGTATGCAAATATTACACCCAGACGTATACAATATATACTATATAGTGCCTAATGTGACAGGCGTCAATATCGTTTGGAAATAAAATATCAATTTTTTTTATATTTTGTGGCTAATACCTATAAGAATTCCTCCCTATCTTGAAAATAAGATAATATATAAAAGATACAGTATTTGCCTCTTGATATCTAAGACATCAACATACATGCATGAAGAATCCATAGGCATAAGACTTTTACCTCGACCAAAATGAAAACAGAAATTAACAGCAGTGCATGAGAAACCACCGTGACCATTGGCCACCCATTAGCACATATGACTAGATAAATTGAACTTCAAAGCCACTTTTATTTCCATTTCAGGTTTTTAATGACTCGATATCAACAAATACCATGGAGAGATCCAGGAAGAATTTATTGGGTTATTTACAAGTGATATTGGCTTTATTAGCGATTATCTGTAACCTGTTTATTGTTTGTGTCATTCTTTCATCTAGAACACTGAGGAACTCGTCCAAGCACCTGCTCATCCTGAACCTAAGTTTCGTAGACTTGATAAAAATAGTTGCCCTGGCATTATACGTCTATATGAATTTTGCCGAATCACCTGTTTATGCGTGTGATTTGGAATACATTTCTCGATTAATCACAGACTTAACAACAGGTTTGAGTGGTTTCTTTATATTGCTATTAAATATAGACTACATAGCTACCACAAATGACTCAACTTCGTATCCAGGGCGCCGTTTGGTTGGACCTGTCATACTCACTTTCTTCAACTATGTCATTACTGGAATAGTTCTCGTTCCACTGTTAGTGTTACATATTAAACCAGAAAACTTCATCGGAACACCCACGTCATCAAACTGCTGGATATTCGACAAAGAATACACGTTTTTGATTTATGAGGTAGTTTCTGTCCTTCCACAAACGTTTCTCATCCTCATGTCTGGTGGAATGACCATAGGTGTCTGCCTCGCCCGCTCGAGTTTGCTCAATATCTCCAAGGATTCAAATCTTGTCAGACGTCCAATCGATTTAAATATTGCAGGATTCCTAACCCTGACTTTGTACTTTGTACCTTATGTGTATTCTCTGATAAGGAAATTTGTGGATGATTGTCAGATATGTAGTCCTTACTCGCCCGCTTTCCTCGTAATACCTATGTTACCTTTTATGAAATGTGTTCTATTACCATTTGTATGGTTAATGTGTCCAGACGTTCGCGCAGCATTAAGTATAATGTGTTCAAGAAACAAAACTGCTAGTCAGGCAGGAAATAGCATAGAGGAACCCCAGCCTAAGCCACACGCAAGTATAGAGGATCCTAAGCCTGCACCATTCATCAGTATAGAGGACCCTAAGCCGAAAATGTATGCAAGTATAGAGGATCCCTATCCTAAACAGTATACATACGTTGGGGACTCGGAACCACCAAAAAGCATAGAAGACCCCAACACGGAACATGCAGTACAGCCCAACAATGACACAAGTCTAACCAACATCGAAGAACCTAAGGCAGATCGGAGTATAGAAATCCCAATGACTAGCACCATCATACAGGAACAACCTGAAACGAATATCGTAAGGGAAGAACCCGTAAAAGATAACGATATCGGAGAATTGCATGCAGATAAGAATGTCGTGCATGTAGATCCTACCGAAAGCAGTGATGTAGAAACATCCACAACAGGTAATTGTGAAGACGAATGGATGACAGGTCCGGGTATAGAAAAAACTCCGGGCAACGATGCTATAGATCAAGCTATAGAAAATAGTAACGGAGACCTACCAATTATTGACAATAATGTAGAAGAACCAATTGCGACCAGTGACCTAGACGATCGAATTACAGACAATGGACTAGACTACCCGATTGCAGATAATGATTTCGGTTACCCAGTTGCAGATAAAGATCTCGACTATCCCCTTCCTGATCTAGATTATCCTATTGCAGACAATGGTCTGGAAGATCCGATTGCAGATAATGATCCTGGTTATCCGATACCGGACAATGATCTGGGATATCCTACTGCGGACAGAATCCTTGAAGACCCGGTCGCAGATAATGATCACGGTTATACGATTCCGGGCAATGACCTAGATTATCCGTCTGGAAATAATGGTCTGGAAAATCAGATTGCTGGCACAGGATATCCCATTGCAGATAAAGGTCCGGGAGAACAATTAAAAGTCGAGGGATTAGATATGTCGAAGAAGCTCGAACCAGGCGAGGAAATAATGCTGTAGCCTACGAACATATTCATTATGGGACCTTTTGTTAAATGCTATACCAATATCACAAATTGATGCATTTTATGACAGTCCATTATGATACTTTTTAATTTTAAGACATTGCGGCTGTTATTAATGACATCGGATGGTCTGTATTAGGTTTAAAAGTGGACGTTGGATCTATATCAATTCCAGCGTTACATCTAATTACAACATTTGGGGACCTTAGATTGGCCTACATTATTCGAAAGTTAGATTTCAGTGTGCTCAACAATGTTAATACATCACAACTCTGAGACGCTAGGATCTGACAAATTTTGAATTAATTTGGGAAATCCTACTTGGAAAGGATCTATAAGATTCATTAAACTGTGAAGTATTGATTTGATTCTGTATTTTTTATTAATTGTAGCGTTGTAGATATTAAGCTTGATTTAGTTAGTCTTGGTGCCGTAAGACTAGTGCAGTAATAATCAACATGTTCATTCATTTTTATTGTTGTTTTTTAACAACCCATTGAAATACATACATGCTTATATGCTTGCTATCAATTGCAAAAACGGCGATTTATTTTCATACCCCTTTTTTATACGCCTGCTGTGAAATGTGGCAATTTTATACTGTCTACCATGTCCGTCTTCCATGTTTAGTGACTCATCTAAATCTGAAACTGTTAGATATGAATATTTAGTTGTTAATTACAATTCCACATATTTTGTTAAGAACCATAGTAATTTCAAAAATAAATACACCGCCAACAAGATAATTCAGATGTTGGATTTTTTTAATTGATAATATCTTTCTTGAATTTGGAGGGGAAATGTATCAGCAAGTGGTAGGTATCCCCATGGGCACCAACTGTGCAGCTTTGCTTGCTGATTTGTTTCTATCACTGTTCATCACGTGTATTTTGCATACGGATAGTCCATTGGCCAATTACGTTATTTTATCGAGATTTCGTTTAATGGGTTGGATGCAGCTATGGCGGGTGTGGCGCCAGGCAGGGTAAGCTTACTCTTCCGGACACCTGTTACCACTGTTTGTCGTGTATTTTGTACACTGTGAACAGTCCATTTGCTGATTACACTATTTTGCCTATAAAGTTTTTTTTAGGACGGTTCGTACTTGGTTTTATTTTATTTATGCATTAGTTACATTAGTGAGACGAAATGGCCTATTGAATGTCAAACAAGTTCTTTAAATTACTTATGTGGTTATTACCCTTGTCACCACGTAGAATATAGTAGACATTGTGACGACAAATGTAGCATCCGATCTGCTTAAAAATCTAATGGCAATGTTCAAATCAGTGAGACAAAGAACTTCATCGATTAAAAACAATATACGTCCTTTACTTTTAAGAGTTGATGCCTTTGATCTCTTTGTAGAATCTTGAAACCTAGGCGTTTTAATTGTTTCGGTTATTAAGACAAATAAGTCTACCGAGTAACAATAATTTCAGATAATAAATTAATAGTAAGTGCAGGAGACTCGCATTATACACAAAATAAAACCGATAAGACAAACCTGTGGAAAAGACAAACCTGTGAAAAAGACAAACCTGTGAAAAAGACAAACTACACAGACATTGTAAGAAATAAACAACAATAATATCAATTAGGGTGAACGCTCTAGTGGTATTTATCAAGGTTTCGCATTGTTTTATTTACCTAAAGAATAACCAAAAGACAACTGTTATGAATTAAGACACTGGCGACTTATTTGTGGTGAACTAACTTAAGGGGTTTTTTTGTGCTGTAAAACAATCATACAGCACTGATGCAGATTATCGATGATTATGTCACCATTTTCGCCACCGTACAAATTTAGTTTTAGACAATTTATTGTAACTATACTTTGATATAATATGACCAGTCCGGTTACCAACAAAGATTAAATGTATTAAAGCATGCCTCGACTATCCTCAGCCACTAAAGAGGGTATGATTGTAAACATGATGATATGGAATGGTACGAAATTTGTTTATAAAATGGCCACGCGATTCACTACGGACTGTTTCCATCGTTATACTTTATTGTGTCTACTGTTTTATATTTTAATTCTAGAACAGTGATTAAACAATTCAGTTATACTATAATATTGCACTCAACTCAGAAATTGTCACCTTTAGTCTATATCAGAAGTATAGTTGCAGCCAGGGCCGGTGCTACCAGGCTGCCTACTTGGGCGCCCACGAGAGGGGCAAGGCACAAAAGATTAGTTTGTTACTTATTCTCAGAATTTGAACTAAATTTGGCAGTTACATGTTTTTAAAAAACGAACTTAGCATTATTTGTTTTCGGCTGAAAATATAGTATGTCGCTGGGAGAGAGAGAAATGAGGCCCCAAATCCACTCGACACAAACTATGTCATTTCGGGACTAGCATAATATCAATCTGAACGACAGACCCACCCTACCTGCAGAGAAGTGCGGAAAAAAAAAGCTAGCTGCCATTTAATTTTTGGACGTTAGTTACGTACGGCATAATATGGTAAATTTATTTTAATAATTCGCTTGCGCGTATGGGCCTTCAAAGATTCGTGGGTTCAAAGACGAAATGCCGATTTATCATTTGTTTAAAAATGTGTGTTCGGTTTAAAACGACCACATTGAGACAGATTACTTCAAATGGGGCAATTATCCAATAAAGCATTTAGTTGCTCGTAAAGGTAAATATCAATATATTTAATCTTTTGTCTTTCCTCAAAACTCCATATATAAATAAAGATGATTTGAATAGTTTAAACATTATAAAATCAGTATAATAATGTACATACATGTAGGCCCATATACAATGACAATAGGGCCATATATCAACAGGGTATTTTAGAAATGTCAAGCTCTATAACATTTTACAGTTATAAATAATGTACGTATAAATAATGGTAGCAGTAATAGAAATATAATTAGATAATTTACTTGATTCAGAGTGTAACAAATGTTGACTGTTGTGTTGGTGGAGTTTCTAGTGAATAGAACCCGAGAGCTTGTGTCGATGGTGGACAATAACTAAAACAATTCAGCTGTTCTTTCTTGTAAGTATTTACTAGTTTTTTATTGACAGTTTATATTATATTTTCTGACCTTAAAATTTTTTAAACAAATACACCATTTTGTCCTTAAATTATAATCTGGACGTTATGTCGTTGTGTTATCAATATATACTGTTTAGGGTTCCTGTCATCTCCTACCTATCTAAGTAATTAATAAGCTAATTGGATTGTCTGAAGTTTGAACCAGCGTCTGAAAACCACAAACAAATTGTGAATTGTGAATTTCGTCATTTCTTTAGTGGCATGCCTCAAAGATCGGTACATGGTCCTATTCATTTCTCTTTCTAATACTTAGTCACTTGATGAGCAATTCATCTCGTCGCGATGACTCACTTATACAAATAATCAAAATTCTAAATGAGATCATGAATCAATTTAAAATCTAACAATGTGCATATAATATGCGTTAAACAAATATGTTGAAACAGGAAATGCATGTAAGTTATTTGGAGAATGGGGTTTGTCCCGAAATAACCCAGTTATTGTTATTGGACGTTAAACTCTATAAATAAACAGTATACAATTCCCACGAATTTCTGGACCTGGAAGTTTTGTCAACTAGAGTCGAATACTGAATTTTGTTGATTCCGTGTAGCAATGCCGTGATGGCATACTGACATGGATTCCAAAGGTGTCCATCTGTTCTGTCCGTGATCTTTATCCCAATGACATCGCTTATGTCATATTATTAATCAGTGAGTTCCCGAAACACTGACCTTCGAAGAAAATTTCATATATCATTCTAACCAAATAAGTAGCCATTTCTGTTTGACATAATATATAACAAATAACCAACAATTATAAATTTGTATGTATGTACTTCAGTCTGCCAATTTCCCAGAACATACTTCAGCTAATGTGGTCAGGGCTTATATTTTTCAGACAATTATAGACGATAGTATTCAAAAAAATAACAATGGAAAACTACACAAGATCCCAGCCTGCTACACTCGAGTCAGAGGTATATTAATACGGTTCACTAATATCAGGAACGAGAAAAATAAATCAACACAATACCTTTGTCTTTTTATGCATACGTGTACAATACGAGGTGGAGTCATTTACCGCAGAGGTGGAATTTCTGCCTTTCTTTGAATTCCAGTTGGCAGTGACAATATTTTTGTGTTATTTTCATGGGTATTATAGTACCGGATTATAGCTAGAGGCGCCAGCCTCCGACCGGATGTTTTTCACGTCAGAAAGTTTGAAACAAACTTATTTTTTGTGTGAAATATGTTGCGTGTTCATTGCCTTAGTGGTGTGATATTTTCGGGTCATTTATGTTTCTAAGGAGTGGGTAATTAATCATTGCAGCACCACTCTCCAATTAGAGCCCCATATCTTTATGAGGCAAACTTTCCCCCATAACACACTGCATGGTATATGCCTGTCTTCGTTGCTGCTGTTAGTCCATATTTCTAAGCTGAAATATCTAGGAACTTTATTCTAGCAACTTTTGTGGTTATAGTAGAGTTTTAGTTCTTAGATCACAAATATGATACATTGTCAATATTTACTGAAATAATTATCACTCAGAGTAACATAAACAAGTGTCTCGATGAAACCAAGCGGAAGCTAAACGTAATAATATGATGAACATGTATTATATTTTCAGAAAACAAAGTATATGGCAGTGGTAGACGTGATTTGTTACACCATGATCGCTATCATAGCATTATTTAATTTAGGTGCCATTATTATCATCCTGTGTACCACCAAGCTGCAAAAAGCCCCCAAGTATATAACAATTATCAATTTAAGTATGGTGATGTTGGTTTTAGGACTATTTGTGTTAATGGGGCAACATGCTAATTTTGTTCATTTGAATGCTTCGTTGTATTATTATACTGGTTTATTTCATTTTTTATGTATGGCATGTATAATATCCCTGTGTGTGGTTCTAAATGTAGATTATATAATGAGGATTGTCAAGCCCACCATATATGAAGGAAACAAGAAATTTGCGTTACTTGTAGCGTTGCTGTTTGCCGTGTACTGCATCAATGCTCTTCTGATTGTCCCCCTTTATACTGATACGTATGTCTTGGTTCGTCAATTTGGTTCAACGCTAATACAAACGATTAACCCCCAATATGAATCAATTATAGTTATTTTGAGTGTGATTCCCCAGACCGCCTTCGTGCTTATTACGGGAGTATTGGCGATTGTTGTTTATCTCGGGTACCGGAAGTCCCAACTAGACACTCCTACCCCTTTAGAGCTCCTTGTAACTGATACGGTTGTTATTTTGTTGGCCAACATTCCCCTTGTTTTAAAGTATTTGTTACCATTAAATTTTGGGTTTCTACCTCTGGCTTTAACTGTGTGGCTTTTGCCCTTTTTGCTGCCCACAATATTACCACTGAATTGGCTACTGGATAAAGATTACCGCCACTCCTTTAGGGATCTTGTCTTGTGTCGATGTCGCAAAACAAGAGACACAGATTCGTATGAAATGATGTAAGATGGAGCCTAAACCAGTTTAAAATCTCAAAGGAATAAAACTGGAAAAAACATTCTTCCTTGGACATTGGGGTAAATGACGTTCATGCTGAACTACTTAAACTGCTTTCGTTTCTTTTCGTTATGTTTGTGTTCAGTTAATCCGATGATACCTCTACCCAATGCCTAGTCTTAGGCAGAAGTATTACGCAATCACAATGGCAAATTTCTAACCGGAAAGACAATGGTTAGCACATTAAACAATTTAGAATCGGAACGAAACAAAATTCCCATTTAACTGGTGTCTTATTGTTTTCTGAATTATATTGTTAATATATATAAGGATTTTCTATAATCTCTAATATACTTTTTATTCGTTGCTTTTGTATTTTTAAATTGTTTAAAAATATATTATTGACTCACCATCCCATAGAGTATTTGTTTTATTGTATTATTATGTATAAATATAGGCCACTTCACAAAGATACCATTTTTGGTTCTAAAACCGAAATCCAAACTAAGGCATATCTTTTAGGGGCAAGACGGAGTTGGGAGTCTGAAACGCCTCATCCCCCTTTATGCAGTCATTTTATTAGCCATACACGCACACGGAAGCCTATAAATGCTATTCATAATTTCTATTTTTCGCCCCTTCAGAACGCGAAAGTCGAAAAGTCGAAAAGTAGAAGTTACGACAAAATTTGAGGTGACAACACTTTAGACAAGCCAAAATCGACTCGAAAATAGGGAATTAAGAAATAATACACAGCGATAATTGTGCCGCTTGTTTTTTCCTAATTTCTAATTTTCGACTTGCATTTTGGCTTGTATACCGTCTTATCGAGTTTCGACTTCGTCATATTTTTGCATTTATTGATGGCAGTAAGAAGGCACCAACAGGCATACCAAGCCAAAATGCAACTCGAAAAGTAGAAATTATGAAATAAACACACCGCGCTATTAGCGACCTATTATTTTGACTTGCTATCGTAATGTCGACTTTTCGAGTTTCGCCTCGGAAGTTGATGAAGGTCATTTCGGGACTAACACATGGTTCAATTTTATTTCAATAATTCGCTTGTGCGTAGAGGTCTTTAGCAGTGGGAGGAAACCGGAGGACCTGGAGAAAACCCACGAGGTTGGACAGGCGGCCCTACTCCTTGTAACGTACAACCGGGTAATCGAAACCACGCCAGTTGACTCAATGACAGATCTTATGATACAACACGCACGTGCTAACCATTCGATTTTGTTGTAAGTTGTTGTATATTGTACGGGATAATTGTTTTATAATAGGCCTGCAATGAAATTGTTGTAAGTTGTCTTTTTTATCAGACATTTTTGGTAGATAAAATATTCCAGTTGGCGGAGAAAAAAATATTAACAATTTTTTTATATAAAAATTATCCTCCATTTTGGCGGGAAAAAAATGAAAGCCAGTGTGAGGCCTGATTGCACGTAGGCCTATTCAAATGTGACCTAGAAAATTGAGACTTTCGAGGCGAAAACCGCCGACACGGCAGCAAGCCAAAATGATAAGTTGCATTTTGGCTTAGTATGCGGGTTCGGGCTTTCTTACTGATATCAATAATAGTTTAACATCGATGGGAAATCTTCCTTTGTTCTTTTCGTTGAATAAGCAGATTGTTTTCCCTCTAGTAGATTGGGTGGTGCTTAACCGGGCAATAACTACCCATATTCAAAGTTATTGCACACTTTTTCTGGTTTACACTAGTTTTAGTAGAAATTATTTAGAGAAGTGGGGTGGGTTTTCTGTGCAAAAACAATAAGCATGTTGAGCAGTTGTCTACGGTGGCTGATTTAGGACACGCAAAAAAAGATAGTTAAGTCGAGCGCTCGAGATACTAAGTCGAGCGCTCGAGATAATATAACCGAACACGTCTCAACCGATGTTTTAAGCTGTATAATTTTGTGCATAATTTGATGATAAACTTGCAGAATAAAGATATTCATTTGTTCGTTTTTACAGCCCATCCAAAGCTGCAATGTTACAAGTCATTTATAGCACGCTTCACTCATGAAAGCCGTGCTATAAATATAGCATAAATATGACCAAGTCGAAACTCGAAAAGACGGTAGATAGACAAGCCAAAATGCAAGTCTCAAATCAGAAATTAGGAAAAAAACGAGGGGCTCTATTATCGCGGTCTATTATTGCTTAATTTCCTCTTTTCGAATCGATTTTGACTTGTATAGCGTGCTGTCGCCTCACATTTTGTCGCAATTAGGAAAAAACGAGGGGCGCTATTATCGCTGTCTATTATTGCTTAATTTCCTATTTTCGAATCGATTTTGACTTGTATAGCGTGCTGTCGCCTCACAATTTGTCGTAACTTCTACTTTTCGACTTTCGTGTTTTGAAGGGGCGAAAAGTAGAAATTACGAATGGTAGTTATAGGCTTCCACATGTTTTAAATCAACTCACACAGTGATTGATGTGGAAGTTCCGAAATCTAATATTTTTGGGGGGGTTTTGTAACTATTTAATTCCAAACTAAGAACTGAAAAAAGCGGATAAAAGGAAGATTTGTTGAAAACCCCATTACATCATCCTTAATACTGGTCTGGAAAAAGACTGCTGGAGTCGCTGAGCACTTTCGTGGGGTCACGGCGGACTACTCTGAAACTTAGAATTAGAAATAAATACAATTAAACAGATAGATCGATTTGGTGGAAAAAAACTTTTGCCACCATCAAATACCATCATTGAATGAATCAAAGACAAGAAATACAACCGTACCTTTAAAATGTCTTCGTACCAGACCATCTTGTGAACCTATCCAATCCAATCACCAGAAATGGTCAAACTGGCTATATGGCAGCCGCCAAATACCTGTAACTGAACGGATTAACCGGAACAGAAATACATGCCGACATTGTCGCCATTTTAGGGATGCCTTCCACTTCCACAGTAAAGAAGTGGGCTGTGGAATTTAAGCGTGGTTGAGAGAGACTTGATGATGACCCGCGTCCTGGGAGGCCATCAACAGCGGCCGTTGAAGGAAACATTACCGGAGTGCATGATGTCAGTGGTGCAGGAAGCAGGGCCTGACAAGGACAGAGAGAGAGAGAAATGGGGTTTAACGTCCACTCGACACAAACTAGGTCATTTCGGGACTAACATATGGTTTAATTTTTTTATTTCAATAATTCGCTTGCGCGTAGGGGTCTTTAGCAGTGGGAGGAAACCGGAGGACCGGGGAAAACCCACGAGGTTGGACAGGCGACCCTACTCCTTGTCGCGTACAACCGGGGAATCGAAACCTCGCCAGTTGACTCAATGACAGACCGTATGATACAGCGCGCGCGTGCTAACCATTCGGCCACCCACCCCTTCCTGACAAGGACAGCCGTCTAATCGGTCGGATAAGACCAAAAACAGAGGTCCCGTGTATACATTGGTGTGTACGTAAAAGATCCTTTCGATATAAGAGTAGGCCATAGTGCCGCTGCCCAAGCAAAATTTCCCTCATAGCACACTGTATGGTGTGTGTTCGTATTCATTAGCCCAGTTGGGGTAGGACGTTAAACTCCATTTCACTTCATTCCATTTCTTTCTACACGATCTGCAAATAATGATGATGTTCCATAGTAACAGGTGTCTTTGTTCTTCGAGGGGTCACGATCCAGACGATGGTTTCTGGAATGGGGTCACAACCAATAAACGGTTGGGAACCACATATCTAGAAGCACCATGATAACTTAAGCTTTGGTTGGTATTTATTGGGCCTTAATACAGTAAATCAGTAAAGCAAACTTATTTATTAACATTCATTATAATACATTCAGCTAACCCAGCATCACGTTAATAATGCCACGCTAATTATAAGGGACGATGATTACTACTAGTTAAATGTCAAGCAAAATAACATTACATATATATATAAACCACATAATGCGATTTCTACAGTTACTAAGTTGAAGTGTTTATAGAATGTTTGTTCACAGAAACGGGTAAGTTGTGTGTTTCTAAAAATTGTTTACTATAATATGTAGCGTTCTCAAATTGTACTATTTTGGGTTCAATACCGATATGAATCAATTTTTGTTTACCCCTGTTTAGTTTATAACTGTTCAACTGTTACACTCAAGTAGGGCCTATTGCCCAAATTTAGATATTATCACATTAGAAGACGAATTTTGAGAATTGAGAGGCAGTCTGAGATTTTGAGGCAATGGGTCCGATTATATAGCATAAAAAAGCGGTCATAAAATCCACCGAAATCTGCTCGATCGAAATGTTTCAAATCTTGTCTCGGTCTTACCGAAACGAGTCCAAATTGGTTAGACACGAAAGTTTAATATGATTTTATATCTTAGCGGAGGCTTTGCAACACGGCTAAATCTTGAATGGGGTGGGCTGGTTGTTATAATGAATTCTACTGGCCGTTGTTCAGGAATGAAAGAAATATTTTGGTACGGCAGTGGTGAGAGTAGAAATCGTAAATATTATTATCATTTGTTTTCAGGTTGTAGTAATATTGATACCGTGATAGAATATTAATATGACAAATTTAACTGTAAGTATACATGCACTCATGCCCAAAACAAATCGCGTTCGTATGCTTTTCTAATCAACACGTTCAGTGGTCGATCCGGGTGTTGGCCGAGAAAGTTCTTCTGTGTTTTCCAGCTGGTCGAAAGGAACCGTGTCTTGTTCAAATGGGACGAACCCCCGTGGTCCCGTGTACACACTGGCTTGTATATAAAAACAAAATGGCAGATGAAATTCGACCCGGGCAAAATTAGGCCCATATCACACCCGCACAGCACTATACTTCCATATCCATTCGTATGGTTGGTGCAGAAAAGTAGACGTTAAACCCATTTCATTGTCATACAGAGCTAACAAATCTGAAAACATCTGAGCAGTTTTATAGTTACACAAAATATCCCTCAAATACAGAAGAAAATCCCGTCTAAATTATTTGTCCTCGATGCGTGTAACATTACAACCGGAAGTTCAATAATCTCCGAATATTTCATATTATGGTCGAAAAATGACCATATGTTAACCTGCTAATTTTCCCATTTGATTGAACATTGCAAACTATCCATGACCTGTAGCCCTGGCTCTGTGCCTCATCGCAATATCGAAAAATATTAACCTTCTTTGAAAGCTTGTTATAGATTTAAAAGTACACTGCATGGCTTATGCCGGTCTTCGATGGATCCTATTTCATTTTTAGTCTACGTCAATTCAATTTACACAACAAACTTATGGTTAGCTTAGCATTGTGTTTAGTTTAAATAATGATAAAATGTATATATACCCGGCTGCCTTCTTGGTCGTTAAAAACAAATTTTGACTATACTCTTCATAAAAAGAAACGCATAGTGACATTTCGTCGTCGGTATACCCTCGCTCTACCATCGCATCAGGAACCGCGACTCGTCGCTGAAACAATTTGTTCTCCAGCGTTGCTGTGGCAATACCCTGTGTGTCTGAACCCACTGGAGTCGGATTTGACGGTGTCGGCGTATTTAAAAAAACAGCGGTATACGGTTTCACGTAAGTGTCTATGGACTGTCTATGGACTGTCTGGTCTGAGATTCTACGCCGTCAAGGAATTGCTGCTGCAGAAGAGGACGCTGTTGCAAACCGTTTTCGCAAATAATGTAACCGGATGTGACGACCCAGGGCAGGTGGGGTTACTCTTGTTTGGCCTGAGCGTGGGCGGACACATGTTGAACTTCGCTGTTGGTACCTATCCCAAAGGCGAGAAATGGTACACTGGGAAACATAGGGCAGCTTGGATACATCTGTCTGGTATTCACCTGCTTGTAACCGACCGATAGCGTTGCTGCGTTGGTCTTTGTTCATATGTGGCATCACTTGGTTCGTTGAGTGTTTACATGTGCAACTGATTTTGAAACCGGGAACCCCGGGATTTTAAAGGCCTTAGATTTGGGTTTCATGCGAAAAGCTCACAAAGTTGTTAAACTCACGTGTCTTTGTGCAATCAAGCGAAAACAAATTTCGGCAAAAGGTATGACCAGTCACAATTAGTGACCCTACATTTAAAAATAATAATGCAGTTCTTTTACCCTTACATAATGACATTAAAAACAAGTAAGATTTACGGAAACAACGATCCCGTTCAAATAAAAAAAATGATGGAAAATGGGCTGTGCTTTTCTTTTTTTGAAGAGTATGTTTAGTTTATACCTGAACGGTCAAATATCTAAATAAAATAACCGTCAAATATTATAACCCAACTTAAACATCCCAAACAATTGTCAATTATTGTCCAAAATGAAGTTTAAAATCTCAACTGCATTTCCATTTGTAAAATATGCGTTTTCTCTACCACGCAACTGTTGTAATGGCTGAACATTCGCTTTGTATGATTGCGTAAATAGATAATACTTATCTTTCTTCTTTTCAGCATTATTACGCATACTTTGAACAGGGTGATGACTACCAAGAAACCCTATGGCTGCTGACTTTGCTGTCTTTTGAGATGTTGTTAGTTATTCTCAATGTTGGTTCCATACTGGTCATTTTAACATCGCCCATTTTAAGATGTACACCGAAATATGTGTTAGCCATTAACCTTAGTATCGTCTTCCTGGTGCAAGCTCTTCTGTTACTTTCAGTCTGGATTGCAGCTCGTTTCTACTCCCAGATCCAAATAGATTTTTGTACTCTATATTATTATCAATTCCTGGTCGGAATTCTCTGTGTGGCACTAATTGGAACATTCTGTGCTGCCATGAACATTGTCTACGTCATAAGAATTAAATCTCCGAATTCGTTTGATAGCAACAAACAATATTTTGTCCTGGCCATATTTATTATTTTGGCCTATTTTGTAAATGGTGTCACTGTGACACCGATTTACAACAAATTTGTTGATCGTGTCGAATATATAATGGATTCTCAAAGCGTCTGCGGCTACAAAATCTTGAACGCTAGAAGGGAAATTATTCTTCTGGTACTGGCTAATGTGCCACACTACTGTTTTGTAATTTTGGCGGGATGTTTGATTTTGATTTTATACTACAGATACAAAAATTGCCGTCGCATTTCAAAACCATACGACTTAGTCGTAACAAATATTGTAGTATTAATTTTATGTTTCATCCCTGTTTTGATAAAGTTATGGTGTTTAAGCCATCTACGAATGAATGCAATGTGCAAAGATGAAGGGATTTGGCAGCGTGTTCAGAGCGTTGCCCCTTTAACTGTTGGTATTTTGGTACCGTTTATTTGGTTTCTTAATCCAGTCTACCGTCATGCCGTTCGAGATTTTATAACCTGCAAATGTTGCAAAGCCAGTCTAACAAATTCATATGAATTGGTATAAGGTATAATTATTAACCTACAGTTTTAATTTATGTGCATTATAACCATTGGCTTGTAAATAAAAAATTCATTATTCAGATGGTGTGTATTCTTCTATAAATGTCAGTGTGAATACATGCACCCTATAACTACATGTACAGTAAAGAGACTAGTGATTATGGGTCCCAGTTCAATTATCCACACATTTACCATTACTACACTGAATATGGTAATTATCCACTAGGTCCGGCAAAATGTCCAAAATTACTAAGAACTCTTATAGTAAACTGGTTCTCAATGATAATGCCATTCTAATAGTTTGGTGAAATAAATGTTGGCCTGGCAACCGACTGGAATTTTCATATTTCTGAAAACTAAGATGAGATCTGTAATGTCTATCATGGACTTACCAAATTAATGTTAATAAGTAAATGAGAGAGTCTGAACTAATTTGGAGGCAAATTTTCCATTATTTTCAGTGACTTCCACACATATCTCATATCACAGGTTTACATGTAGCTTTTCCAACCAGCTAGTCTCAAATTAACCCTTCAGTTTTGTTCTTCACATAATACCTATTGTGTCACATCACTAACTGGAATAAATGATTCAGCCTGGCTCTTAAAGCGGAAATTTCAAATTTTTAAGTTATATTTTTAAAATTTATTAAAATAAAGCCTTAAAATAGATGGTATCCATAAACAGTCCTTCCTTGTTAAAGAATAATCCTATTAATCCTATAATTCACTATTGCCAGCTGAGAAATTGGCAAAAATATCATTTTCAACTTCAAATTCCAACGTTGAGGAAATGGCTGACCATTGTTTTCAATAGGAAAACAAGGGAGGTAATTGTGTTGTTTTTTCCTGTGTAAATGAGTTTTAAGTGTGAGAATGACACCTATGATCGTATAATAGTGAGTTGATAACCTATTGAGCAAAAGACATAGAAATAATTATGTTTTGACTTTCTTAGAAAATATGAAATTCTCGTTTTAAAGATGGGTTCCCAGAAAAGTATTTATCGGGTGGTTATTTCCAATAAAAGTATGGCAATTTTGGTATATATGGAAAGTAGAGATATCCAATCTTACTAGAAAAATACTGGATTCCCCGAAAAACACTCATGGAGCATATACAGGACAAAAATGTAAGGATTCCCCTAATCAACAGCCCTACGATTAAGAACTTCTGCACGTGTGATGTCAAAGGTCACAAGCGAACATTGAGCGCTTGATGTACAAGTTGATAAACTTTATGAAGAGTTAAACGTACAATACTTTCTGAGATAAAAATGACGAAAAAAGGCACGGGTAGTGGATAATCCGAGAATTTAATTAGGATTCGATATTTGTAATAGATAGTAAGCGGTTAAAGACAACATCGTCTTATGTATGCAATGAATTCTCCTCTGACTCCCAAGACGTGACGTAAACATGACCTGGTTTGATCGAATTTTAATAGCAGGGCATTCCTTCGCAATTACAATGTTTGAGAAGGATTTGAAGCATGATTATGACAAATTAATTAGTTTGAATATGTTTTTGGTCCATATATACCATTAAATCACCGAGTTTGTACGCGGGAACCCATCTTTAATACATTTGCTGTTTTCATGCAAATAAAAGAGTATTGTACAAATTGTCTTTATTATATTATACATTTATATACAAAATAATTGCACCATAAATAAATCGAGCACTTCATTATTTAAATCCCTAAAACTACATAATAAAATGAAAACACACTAGATTGCAGGGATTCACAAAAATTGGGTTCCACTGACTTGCCCATTTAATACCAGTAAACACAGCATCTGAAACAGTTATCTGTCACTATGTATTAATTTAGCTACATGTACTGCAACAAGAATTGACTTTTTAGCAATGTCTCAAGTCTTAAACACATTTGGAACAATCTTAATTTCACTTTTGTGATAAATGTTGGTCCCTGCATTGTTCCAAGATAAGCATTTCTAGCACAATCAATACATTAGGTTAGGTAGCATTATAGAACATACATGTATACATGGTAACTCTCAAAATAGTACATATATACATGTATTGTAGGTTAATGCATACACATAAGTCTAAAACTAGCACATATACATGTACATGTAGCGAAATCCTTAAATTTAACCCAGCCATAAAGCGAACCTGGGTATTGAGGGGTCCTAGTTCACATTTAAATAACACCAAAATTTCACCATTGCCATCCAGGTGGTTTACGACAAACTTCTGAACCCAAAATAGTAATGTCATCTAAATGTTTAGCTGGAATGTTAGAACTCATTTGAGGCATCTCATTGTGAAATAACGGATGGATTGTGACAAATAATGCTGGTCTTGATGTCTTGTACTTGATTGACAGAGCTTTTTGTAATGCTCGACTAGAATTTAAAGTGGAACCAGTGAATAGTTGTAGCACAATTAGGGATTTAACATTCTCAATAAAAACTGTGACACCTTCAGTATCAAAGCTGCCATTTTTAGACAAAATACACAATCTTTCTAGATTCTGACATGATCCAAGGGCTCGGAAAAATGTTTGATCTAGTTTTACATGAGGCTGCTCAAGCCGAAAGTCAAGTAATTTCTGGAAATGGGGTAAAGCTGCACACAGTGAAGACATATAACTACAATGTCCACTCAGACCCAGATAAGCTATGTACAACTTTTTTAAATTAACACAGCCCTTGGCAATGTTTATCAAACAGTGTCCTTTTAGAATTCCATGTAATCCTGATAATTGCAAGTATTTTAAATTTTTCCATTGACCAATACATAAAATATCTTCATCCCGTACTCGATACGATGAGCAGGCTTGATAGTGAAAGGTTTTGGGGTGCATTCCAAAGTATTTATTAAATCCTGACCGAAAATCGGCTCCAATTAGCTCAAACGATTCTACATCTGGACATGACGGTATAAGTAATTTGGGGGGACTTTTACCATTTTCTGTTGCTTCATTTAATGGTATAACTTCTACTGACTGTGTTTCTATTCCTATCCTCCTCTTTTTACCAAAATTATTTGCATTATCACATTGACTGGACAGTCGTTTCCCAGAGATAGGCGTTTCATTGTCTGTATTTGATTTGTTGTACTTTAAACAGCATGGAGAAAAGGCAACACTCTTCCATGCTGAATTAATAGAAAGCATTTCACACAAACTACCACCTGAATTTAACTCATGAAAATGGATTCCAGCCAAGTTGATGTGCTGTAATTTTGACAGATTCAATAACATAATTTGTAGACCACTGACATCAACTGCACTTTCATCCCCATTTGTGGTTATATTATGACAATTATTCAGATTAATACTTATCATGTTAGGACAACATTCGGCAATAACACGTAAGCTGTCAGAAAAGAGTTTATTGTTATCTGATAAACTTAGAAACCTGAGCTGAGTGGCACGTTCTAGTCTAAAGAGAGGATTTGGAACTTCCACAGAAGCTCGGGAAAGATCAAGATTCTCAAGGTCATCTACTTGTTGCACACATTTGACAAAATGTAGTTTATGTTGTAATTTTTCAAGATTAGACACAGGTTGCAGTATTGTTTTGAATCGTAATGGTAGTTTACAGACCTCAAGCAATGTTCCGAAGAAAAACATACGTGCAACAGGATCAATTGCATCATTGATAGAGAGGACTTTTAGGTGTTGAAGATTTTCTTTCTTATTGATCTGTGGTTGAAGGAAATATTTGGGCATTCCTTTGGTACAACTGGGATGACCCAATATGTGCAATTCTTCAATATGTTCACAATATTCAAAGAAAGATGGTTGTGACAAAAAATGCATAGAAATACTTTTAGAAAATTCTAACTGGTGTTTGAAATGGACACATATTTTTTTGATATTGGCAAGTGTTTTTTGGGCAACTGAATTTTGTGTGAGCTCAGTGTGGAATTCCTGTATATCTTCTGTACTGAAAGCGAACGTCTCTAACTTCACTAAACATGACATCAATCTACACAATCTTTTGACGGAAACTTTACATTGTAGAAGTTGCAGATTTGTTATATTTGTGCACCTAGAAATTGCCGATTCAAGCAGGCTCCCGGATATCCAATAACTGTAATTCAAGTTCAGGCTTTCTATGTGAATTGTGGTACTGGAAAGAAATGTCTGCAAAATGTTATCAGTCAAGTCATAACAGCTATTAAAATCGGAATGCTTGACTAATGAACGATCGTGACACAACTGGAAAAATCTTTTGTTCACATTACTGCATTTACACAAGTCTATTGTAGGCAAATATCCAAGGATTTTCAGCAAAACGTCGTCGGATAACAAACAAAAATTATTCACTGTGGACGCCGCCATGTTAAATTGTTGCTTTTAAATGGACTTGGATCCAATGAAAACTAAACCGGTAATCTGAAATATAGACGAGGATTTGATAGTTACGTACCTTCCAGGAGATGAATTTTTTCTTGTCTGAGTCTGATCAATTATTGCCCGTCTTTTATACTTATAGTTGTAGTGTGTAGAATCTACTGTAGACAGAAGTAACCTACCTAGCCATGAAATGCAATTTTTACAGCTGCCGACAATAAATGTAGTTAGCTCCCTTTATATTTTCTTCATGTGCCGAGTTTAAAGCGAGTATCATCAACTCCACCATATGGGATGGCACACTGATCCGCAGTGAATATTTGCTAGGCCGCTACAATACTAGACTCGTAATTCTGTGTGAAACAGATTGATGGGATGGGTGGTAAATTTCCATTACAAAATAATAAATTTTGTTGGACAGAAATAATTAGTTTTACAGTAACGGTATTAGAAATAAAAATGAAAAAGAGTTTTGTGAAAATATTACCAAATGTTCCATATCATTTAGAATTTAATAAATAATATACTATTCAAAAAAAGTAGGGGATATTTGATTTTTAAGTGTTATTAAAGTCACCTAATGAAACTGACGAAGAAACAAATGACAAAATGAAATGAAGTTCACATTCATCGATTTATTCCAAATGATCGTTAGACTAAGTAAGGCACAGACTGACCATTATAAGGGTAAAATGATACCCGGGGTCAAACAGCAAAGTTACCACAGCATCACAACCAAGTCAGTAACGGGTAAATCCTCCTCTGTTTGCCAAACAAGCATTGATCCGACGTGGCATACTCCTAATGAGACGTCTAAGGTCATTTTGGTCCAGATTGTCCCATTCCTGTTGCAACGCAGCAGCAAGTTCTTGGACATTGGCAGGACGTTGTTGACGTTGACGTAACCTCTGTCCAAGCATGTCCCAGACATGCTCGATGGGGGAGAGGTCGGGACTCAGTGCTGGCCAAGGTAATGTGGTGATGTTCTGTTGTTGGAGGTAACCTGTAACGATCCTGGCCCTGTGACATCTTGCGTTGTCATCCTGGAAGATGAAACGGCGGCCATGACGTCGTGCGAACGGCACAACATGGACTGCCAAGATGTTGTCCCGGTAGTACTGGCCTGTAACACGCCCTGCAACAACATGTAAAGCCGTTCTTCCAGCAACAGTGATGCCTCCCCACACCATAACAGAACCACCCCCAAATCGATCATGTCTGATGACGTTAACGTCTTGGAAGCGCTCGTTTCGACGACGCCACACCCTCCTACGTCTGTCCAAAAAATCAACAGTGAACCTTGACTCATCTGAAAACATCACATTGCTCCAGCGTCGATTATCCCAGTGTTGACGATCCCTACACCAACGACGTCTTGCCTGAATGTGATGATCTCTCAAACAAGGGATCACGCGAGGACGTCGGGCGCGAAGGTGACCCCTATGCAGTCGATTCCGAATCGTCTGGCCACTCACTCTCACACCAGTGTCTGTTTGAAGACGAGCGCTGATCTGATTTGCTGTGATGACACGATTTCTCAAGGCCAAGCTACGGATAAATCGATCCTGGGCTTGAGTTGTCGCCCTTGGTCGACCTGAGCGTGGTCTGTCCTGTACAGATTGTGTATCACGGTATCTGGACCATAGCCTGCTTATGACAGACTGAGAAACATTCATCGTCCGCGCCACAACCGCCTGTGTTGTGCCGATCTGTAGCATGCCAAGGGCACGTAACCTTTCATTTTGGGTAAGCCGACGCATATCAAAATTTGTTTTCTGGTCACTAAAACAATTAAACTGATGTTTCCACCCTGGAATTCAATGCCACAATGACTGTAACATTCAAAGTCAGAGTCGTGCAAATCTTGGGTTGGACCCCCATGATGATCCCAAGCATCACCTGCATTCCATGCGGTAGCTATTGGTGCGTTTGGGCGTCACATGTAACTGGAAATGTTTCTTCTGTTAGGTTCTATAGTGACTTTTTTCGTAGTCATTTGCATATTTTAGTATTATGCCCCCAAAATCAAATATCCCCTCCTTTTTTTGAATAGTATATTATATTATGATAGATAGGCACCCTGTGAGGCAGTGACCGACCAGGCTGCACCACTTTTTGTCAGTAAACCTAACACAAAGTATCATGCCACCTGAGCACCATATCCAGTATTTTGGGCCAGTTCCCTTCCCTTCCAACCTATCCATCTTACGAATACCATTTAAATATAAGATAAAACTATTAGATCTATACGCTATAATATGAAATACGACCCTGCCATATTACTATTGTCAAATTCAGGACAAATTGTGGGCTATCTACTTCTCTTAAAATCAGCTGTTTCCGACTGATGTTAGTTCAAACCAAACGGGAATTTCAAATTAAAATAGTAAGCGATAAACCCTATACTCCCCACAGTGTTTTGTTTGAAGAGAGCTAACCCCACTTAACACTGCTGTAATGGAAGCAAATGTATGTTCCAATTTATGACTGGTCAATAGTCCGATTAACAACCAATAGCTAACTGCATAACAATATTATTACGCTTTAAACAGAGCTCCGAACGGGACCAAGACTCGTGATTTATTACACCCAATTATAATTAACCAGTGCATAGCAGTATATTGCAGAAAAACTAATTGCGTGACAAACCCCAGATTAAACGAAGGGCTGTCATGTTGCTGTACTTGGGATAGATTTTATAGAAGAATAGACACACTCCCTCAAAAGCTCGGGTATCATAAACCAATCCAGCAATGACCAGAGAGGAATTTCTCGGGCCATTGCTTCAGGAATATGGCGATATAAATGTACCGAAAATTTCATAGGATTGATAATTGAAATAGACAATACTATTGTTTTCCGCGATAGATACAAACTCTTAGGTCCTCACAATACACGTTTTGAAATGACATGTGTAGGAGTGTGTTGCCAGAATAGCCAAATATTCTTATGAAATAGTAAATAATTTACTATATGTATTCATGATCGCAGATCGTTCTCTGACTTTTAAACAAACAAAAAGTCGTTGCACTTCTCAGTGACAGACTTCTGGGACACGCAAAGGAGGGTGCAGTCGTATATAATATCTTCCCGCGTAAAAACCGTGTGATTTTGTGGTATATTTGGACTTAAACATATTCGAACTAATTTATCTATCATAAGTTTGCTTTAAATCCCGCTCACAACATTTTAATCGGTTCAAGAAAACTAGCCCATTCAGCGATAACCTATTTCTACCACCCTTGTTTATCACGTAACTTGGGTGAGGGGAGAATCGGCTTAAATGAAATAAGGTTTTATTTAACATCCTACTCAGATTACACTAATGAAGACGGGCACACACCATACAGTGTGCTACGAGGGATTTTTTTCGCGGACAGCGGTACTGCAGCCTACTCTTATAATCTAATTCCAATTGCCAGGGGACCTTTTACGTGCACGCCAATGTGTACATACGGGACCTGGGATGCGTCCCATCCGAACGATTATACGTTGTCCCTTTCCAGACTCTACGTCCTGCACCACTGACAAGGGGGGGGGGGGACTACGCTAGAAAACCCTGATGGACTTTCTCGACCAAATGCAGGGATCGAACACGCGACCTCCAGGTTAGCGAGCCAACATCTTAGCCGTTGAGTCACCTTAGCAAAACCAATCAGTGCGTTTGTTTTTAACTTATTTAAACTAAGGGTTTAAAATACTGTAGAGCCGTCCTCATCTCTTCATTTTACGCTGGCTTACTCAAACCCACTTGTACATATTTCTGGTCATTTATTAGCCTTTTTGAGGCAAATGTGTGTATATTATGTATCCGTATATATACTATTTGTCCTGTTAGTAAATGTCGGCTAAATTAAAATTGCCATTTGTTTTGTTTACAATGTAGGCTATATGCCATGTTGCCATTGATCGTTATTTATGTGCATGTTTTTATTGTATACTGTCCTTAATAGTTAATATATGGATCTTTCGGTACAATAAAATCTTATCGTATCTTATCTATGATTTGAATGAATGACAGGACACCCAAAAGTTGTTAAGTATAATCCTCAAATGAAAGGCATACCCTATCAGGTGTTCAAGAAAGAGTCATTTGTTTTTGGTGTATAAAAATACAAGATGTGACAGTTCTATCAAATATATCTTGTAAGGAACTGTTAAGAAATGAGAACAGAGTAACCCGATTTTAGTTCTGTTGCAAATTGGGCGTCGATAGATTTACTATTATAACACCTGATTTCTGTCTAATCAGCACTATTATCGATAAGCCTGGATGATTGAGCCTCAAGTAAAATGGTATGTAGGTAATTGATCACCCAATGAGATTCTAACAATAATATGGAGTATAGATACAACAAAAGATAACAGTTATATACATACGTTAATCTAAGGATCTAGCGCATATTTATGTACACAGGATTAAGGTCAATTATTCTCATTTATTTACATTGAACAGTTCAATAGAAGATTGGATGTGGCTTGTTTGGATGTGGCTTGTTTTGATCTCGTGTCGTACGATACGGTACGGTAGCCATAATAAAGTTATTAGTCTCACCTGAAATAAACAAATACTGGAAGTAGAACGGGTTCGATATTTTATAGTAATGTTCACTGATTGAATTTGTGTTGAATATTGGCTAGATCAATGTCTACAGTAGCTTTAGTGAGATGTGAACAGTGTGCCTATAGTGATAAATATATACAATGTTAATGTACAACTAACATGTAAGTATGAGGTACGGATTTATGAATGAATTTGTTACACGAGTGTGAGTAACATGTCTAGATTAATTTATATACATTTGATATCTGATATAAATCAGTTGAAATATACCACCTTAAGGACGTGATTAACAAATTTTTATAAACTTGTTAAGATGTAAATTTTGAATACAGTTCCAGTTCCTGGGGCATTGCCTTCTAAGGATTGACAATTACCAGCATTACCTTCAGAATGGACAAAAAGTGGTGCAATTGTTTGTTCTGGATCCCTAATACAACTGATGGATAGTTTATGAAGTAGGTGATTGCAATGTAGGCATAGGCGTACGAGCTGGGTGGGCTGGGGGGAATGGGGGGGGGGGGCGGCTGCCCCCCCATTTTGGGCACCAAATGCTGGGAAAATTTGGGCACACAATTGTACTTTGTAAAAGTTGTATGAAAAAATATTGTGTTCTTGAATGCGTCCAATTTAACAGCGAATTTAAATTCAGAGTGTCTATAGTTAAGCAATTAAATAGAAATCCTAAGACTCGAACCCTCTATTGTTTGGAGTACAGTAAGCCACAAATTACAGTTACATAAACAACTGTTTTTAGTTGTGTATATTACAAGTAAATAAAATTTAGTTCTCTTTTATTGATGATTTAGAAATTAAGAACTTATTCATCGCAAAAGAGATATTATGATTATTATGTAACATACTAAGAACCTAACTACATTGAATGTAGGTTCACAATTAATGTGTGTGTAAAAAATATTCATTTGTGGGCATCCAACCGGGCAACAAGGGATTTGCTAGAAAAAGTTATTAAATCTTAAAAGACAACTATACGAAAAGTAAAATTAAATGAATCCCTCACTTTAATATCAACAATTTGTCAACAGCAACTGTACAGTGAAATGAAGGAAGTGGGTTGTACACTGTACTCAAAATAAACCTGTGTCCATGAATGCAACTATCTTAGCAAAATCTTTGAGCAGGACAAAATGGATCACAGTAGTTGAACATATAACTAATTTATTAAAAATAAAATAATACACAAAAGTAAAAGATGTGAAATTCAAATCAGAGTGATTTAATGTAAAGATTATAGGCTGCTACGTGGCAGGGTTCAATCTTCAAACATTAAAATTTTACTGGTTTATTAGTTTTGCATGGTACAAAAATGGTCTATATATAAGCCCAGTGGTTTTAAGCTAAAATATTTGAATAATACAGCATACTCATTAGCCAAGAGGCAAAATCTGTGCAAGTATATTAAGATTCTGTTTACCCGTACTTAAAATGCTGAAATTATAATGGCTAGGACCCTTGTATTTTAATAATGTTTTGGAATTAAAGTAATACTTTTGTATCTTTTTAATAGAAATTTTAAAAAAAATATTTTTCAGGAATCACAGGCAATTAATTTCATCAATGGAAGACGAAATAGGGTGTTATGACTCTCCATGTAGTTCAGATGTAACCGAAGATTCAACTTCCATTTTAAGTGGCACAAACTTGTCTAATAATAACAAAAAATTATTATGTTGGGGCTGTAGTGAATTTGGACAAAGTGGCCATGGTTTGGTGGAAAGTATATCATTTGAAAAGAGTCATCTTCAAAATAGTTGCTTGGGTCGGATAAAATTCATGGATTGTGGATCTAGTCATACAGTAATAGTAACAGGTAGGTTGTATACTAGATTCAATAGATTCAATATTTGAGCATCTGTGCCATTTTGAATAAGTAGAATTTTCATTTATAGAATATAAGTGGATACATTTGAGGCACAACACAGACTTTTTATCTTGTGTACTGAAACAGCAATAAATATTTGATTAATTTTTTCAAGTGATAAAACCATTGGGGAAAGCCCATTTTGTCGAAAAGTTGTTCTCAAATCTTGAAAAACCAAAAAAGGAGGGTTAAACATTAAATATTCTAACAGGTGTCGATTGATAATCATAATTTTAATGTGAAAGGATAGGAATGTAAACCTGGAGTGGTGTGTAGCCCATACGTCAGTTATTGGCATTATGAATAGCAGTATACTCCAGACTTCATGATATTTATTAGATAACTATTCCATGACTTGCTCTTTGTGGATGAAATATTCAAATATATGGAATGAATAAGTTATAGACCAGTATAAAGCTTGAACTGAACCTTGAACATGATCTGATATTTTCTTTAATGGTAATCATAAAATGAGTTGTCTCCCTTTAATCTTCAGGTCCCTCTTCCAATGGCCAAGAATAAATATTTCTAAGTTGAATTCCTTCCATAGACACATGGAAAATGGCTTCAAAGAGATCAAGGTGCACATTCATAGAAATAATCCTAACCCTAGATTCTCTGGGAGACACAATATTCAATGACTTGCTGACAGTGCACATTATAAAGTAGTCTTAACAAAAAACATATTGGTCCAAACATTCTTCAAATTAATCAATCCAAATGGAAGTTATGGCCATTTAAAGTTACTTTCTTTTGATTACATTCAGTTCAGCATTTTCTTTTCTGTTCAATCATGCTTGAATAATTCTTCACAAACATCGAACCTTGGTTTTTTGTTTTAACTGTCAAAATTACTAACTACCGCCACACAAATATGATTCTCTGTTTTTCGGGGTCGTGGTATATAAATAGTCACATGAATTATGTGAAAAATATTCTGTTTAAAATTTAAAAATTTGGAACTATCCATTTAAACAATGCAATAATGTACTTATCGATTTAAAATAAAGATTTCTTCACGGAGAAATAAGAAGGCCAATTTTTGCAGGTGTTCCCAAAGAACAGAGGATCAATTGATGTGGCCTAAAGAACACTTTACTTCCTTATTTTTGTTAAATTTAATTGTTGGTCTTCTGGCTCATTTCTTATTTTATTTTAACCATTCTTCAATCTGCGTTATATCTGACAGCTTGTAATTCTTGCACCTCCGAATTGTATTGTAGTGGAAGTATACTATGAATAATATTTAGTTTTTTCAGACTCTTATTCAGTCTTACAGCTTGTGACAGAAACTGACCGTCATATCGATTTCAAACATTGTGTCATTGTTTTTGATAGAATATTTTTATATTAATAAACAAGAGTGTTTAATTTTTGTTTTAGATTTCTTAGGCATTCAAATTTATTGACGTTTTTGTGTTTATTTGAGTTCTAAATGCCTTCACCAATTATTGAATGAGCCTGAACAATATCTTAGTCAAGTGGCTTACAGCCTTTTTAATAACCCTCTCAAGGTTGCTACGAACCACAATAGCCCAATGTGTAACATCTCATCCATTGTGCCCGCGGTTTGACAATTTATTTGTGTTGTTAGTTTTTAAGTGATGTTTGAGTGTGTAAGTGATGGTTATTGTTACGCTTTGCCCAGTGTAGCCTCGTGTAAATCAGCTACTATTTCCTGTATCATCACGCTCTCATATCTTACTTGTCAAATGAGAGAATTTTTTTGTTTCGGAGATCAGCAAGTGTGCCAATTTCCTTTACTAGCAAGATGTAATGTAACTGTCAGTCTTGGCTCTAACCATCAAAACCTCACTTCCTGTCATTTACATAAAATTGTTTATTCAATCTCTTGTTTTTTGTTCTCGTTGTTTTCAAACTATTCCGACTTGGGCAAACAATTTTCTCCTAAAGCAATTGAGTAGGTCGGGGGAAGCATTGGTGGTGATTCTATTAAAAAAAGCCAAAGTGAGCAAGAGTTGAAATTAGGTAAACCTGATTTGAACTGTGGCATTGATATTTTTTTGCTTTATCAATACGAACGAAAATAGAGGTGTCATTCAAATCAGGCGCTACATTGCATAAGCTCCTTTCAAAAACTCGGTAAACCAATTTATGAAAGGTTTAACTAAGCTGACTCACAGGGCTTCCAATTATTTTTGCCGCTTTTCATTTTTATTTGATGTCATTTTTGAGGAGTGAAAAAGATGAAATTGATAGCGAAGAGTTGCCTTATTCTGTTTAGTTGTAAATTAAGTTTGCTCAGAGGGCAGCCCTAGTCAATATTTAATTGCCTGTCGCTCGGGAATTCAGATTTTTTGCTTCAAAAAGTTGCTAAATCTAAAATAAAACTTTTTTTGCTTTAAAATCTAATCTTTCATCCAATATCTTAATATTTTATTAGGTCAAATGTGGTTACTTTTCCAAATTGGTTCAAATTTGTTTGTTGCTCTTGAAATTGGTAAAAGTTGAACTTGGGCAATTGTTAGAATTAAAGGTCATATGATCCAGATAAGAGGGATTATATTTTTTTATTTCTGTGATTGGCCAAATCAATACTACAGAAAAATGAAATAACACCTCATATTTCTGTACCAACCAGGTTAATGAAGATTGGCATTTCTGCCTACTCAAATCATGGACCACTTTTTTGTCCTATTCAAATGACTAGACATCATTTCATTGCCCAATCTTACAGAATTTAATATTGGTTGTCTATTCTATAGACAGAAAGAACATTTATGACTTTGATAAAAGCACCCAGTTATTCCTCTTTGTTACAAATCTTGTAAGCACTGGGGCTTTAATTATAATGTGAGCTCTTTGGTATTTAAATTGGTAGTCTATTCTTTAAAACAAAGAACATTTACGAATTTCAGAAATTTTTGACTAAAACTTCAAGTCATATTCCCCGTTTTTTACAAGATATTGTTAGCATCTTATATTAGAGGCCACAATTATCCAATATTTCTAGAACTTGTATGAGTTATTTAACAGCCTTTTGTTGTTTTATGATATGTGATCAGAAACTACAATAATCCAGATATCTTTTAGAAATTGATATAAGTCATCTATAGCATTGAAATTAAAAAAAAAACATTTTGATTTTCATTATGCATGTTTGTTACTAAATATTGTTAGAACTTATTGAAGATACATTTTGATTTTCATTATGCATGTTTGTTACTAAATATTGTTAGAACTTATTGAAGATACATTATGTAAGATTTAGGTAAAGAGCTGGCTGTTCTTGCTATAATAGTTCAAAAATAGGTAATGCAAAATGAATATATTGGAAATTTCATTCAAATTACATTATTCTGAGCCAAGTTATCACTGTAGTTTTGATTGTTTATTATCGTAACCACGGTACTGGTATATTTGAGGCCTAGCCTCGCTTTCCAATTTTTAAGTTAAATCATTAAATGGCCGAACCATTCTAATCTAGTGAAAATCTTGAGTATCCAATGGCATCAAGAGTTGATTATGGCCTTGTCATGTTAAGAAAGGTCTAATTAATAATTTATATAACATATACAGCCTAAAGAAAGACCTGCAATATGCAAATTTAGCCCTTGAATAATGTATCTTTAACCCATCTTTATTTGAAAAGAAGAATGCCACTGATTTTCATTGATTTTCGATCATATCTTCCACTGTTTTTTGCCTTTGGTATGATAAATTGTAAGCCATTTGAAATTTTTGTGTTGTTTAGCTCATAACTGAGTTTTGAGGACATAGGGGATGTGTATATTTGGTGTCTGGCAACCAATGTTTAAGGAATTGAGAAAATTAATCATCTTTAGAAAAAGATACATTATATAAATATATATTAGACTCTAACATAGAAAATAAATTTGACAAGTATTGTAATTAGAAAAATTGCTGAATTGTATGTTTATTATATGATGTTTTTAAGTGATTAATGTTGGTCTTAAGATCAGAGAGAGAAAATAACAAGTCTTCTCTTTCTCAACTGTAATGATTAGCTATCAAGATTGACATATCGTTATTGGTGAAAATGTTCTGTTACAACTAAGAAATTTCTCACTCCATTAGTCTTAGCATTATTGGTCTACCACAATCCATTCCTGGATATAGCTGGCACTATTATTTATAGCCCTAAATCACTAAACCTTGTAATAATGAATGCATTGGCCCAGAAAAGGTACAATTTTTAATATTCCGTCAATTATAAGGTTGTAGAACGACTCACCGTTTTGACATTGAAATTAGCTTGAGATATTAGTAGATTTGTCCAAACAAATAAAGAGTATGAAAATAAACCATATAGCACATGTGAATTATGGATAGAGAGGGTTATAGTTCTTTTCATATACAAATATTTAAATAGATGACAATAAGTTTAATTATATAATAAGTAGTATATCAATAAATAGTATGTTGATGTTACTGATCTGACCGTCCAGGAATAAGTCATTTGTTTAAACATACATTATGCAAGAGCTAAATCTGCCTATTGCATGAATTAACTTATCTAGACCATAATCAACTCTCGATGCCATCGCTAGCCTGTGATATTTAGTGGATTGGAATACATTTCTTGAAAAATAATTAAATGTAAAAATGGATAATCAAGACATTGGTTTTTTTTTGTACCGACTTTAGTAATGATGATCGATGCTAGCCTATAATTCAAAAGCTAATATCTCGGTGTAGAGGGGGGCAATTTGACTGAAATTTTCAGCATATTCTATTTACGTTATTTATTATAGTTAAAACTGTCAACTCTTTATCTAATCTCCCATTATGCCCCTTTAATTTCATTGTAATACACCTCATTAATTGTCGAATATATGTAGAATTTGGCAATTGCCTTATCCCAAGTCAACTCTAATGATAACAATAAAGACAATATGTCTACATTTACCATTGGTAGTTGATGTAAATGTTTTAGATATATAAAGTCTGTCAGGCATTTAATGAAACATTATTCAGATTTTTAAATCTGTCAACGCAGAAATAATTGTAGATTTTTATTTCCAGTAAAATTATTGTATTATAATTAAAAAAATAAACTAATAGACCTTTAGGCAAGTAATAACTTTCCTCAAACATGTCTATTAAATTTTAAGACACAAAATCTTAATACTCAGTCTACAGCTAGCTAAAGTTAATTAAACAGCAGATCTTCTACACACTCTCACACTGCATACGAAGTAAGCAGGTGACTATTAAAATCTATGGGTCCGTCTATCCATCTGTATGGTCATCTGTCTGTTACCCTTTTTCTGAAACAATTGCTCTGCTGCTAATTTGTATAGATGTTCATTAGGTGAATGCCTTGATTGAATATGATGATGAGCATTTACTGCTTAGGGGCAGATTCACCTTTTGGAACACAATAACTTTATTTCGAAAGGGTAGAATAATAACATTGTTACAGAACAAGTTCGGGTTTTGTGGGAATCTGTTAATTATTTACTGAATTATAACCCTTTAATTGTTGACTAAAATTTAATGAAAATTCTGTTTTCAAAAAAATACTTTTGTTTAAACTTTGAATTACTTGTATTTGGTAAAGGGTTAGTAGTTAGTACACTTCTGTTTATATCAGAATTATAGACCAATTTAGTGAATATTCAGGTTTATTCCATATGTAAGTAATTGGATTATAGTATCAGCCTCTTATTAGTAATGCATTGTAAAATTTGTTGGGGCCATGTAGGGGACATTGCTGTAGCAATACTATCAGAATGCTTGTCTTAAAAAGATAAAGGAAGTAATATCTAAATTTTTATTTATTTTCATTATTCTACATTAATTACCTACAGTTTCATTTTCTTTAAAAAAAATAATCTCATAATGACAGATTTTTTTTTTTAATACTTTTAAAACATAAATTCTATGAATTTGGTCAATTACATGGAAATACGCAGCTGCACAAAATGCACTTTCTCATTAAATGTTGAATTATTACAAAGATGATACGTCAGAATGTCGCCGTTTTTTTTTTTTATCTCCAAGTAATACAATATTTCAAATTTTTTTATGTCAAGATATGCATGATTATGATTAATATGGGTATTGTTGTGGAACCTTTTTTTTAGAATGTAAATTCGTCACATGGGCAAGATGATCCGCTCTGTCATTATTATTTCATGGCCACTTGTGTCACGTTAAGTCAGCCATACTTTAAATGTCTTTATTCAGTAATTGGTAACACGTCAATATAGATATTTTAATAAGTTCTCCCACATCATCCCTTATTTATTATATCCACAAAGTGTGGAGAACACAAATTATGGTTAAAGTCGGGTGTCAGGTAATCATGAATGTTCATTAGCAGAGGGTTTATTAAATAAAGAGATGACATGTTGCAACCTATAACACACCAGATATCATTTCAATTACTACCCATCCCTTGCTCATTGTTCCTCGCTAGTCACCTTTATTATAGCAGGTATGGTCTGTGTCAGGATTATGAATACAACCCATGGTAACAGATTACGGCACTCTGACACCAGGCTAGAGGTGTCGTTAGTGAAACCAGAGGCCAGCAACTTGCTAATTCTGCGGCTGCCCTAGGCTTCCAGCCTTTGTCTGTTCTGCCAGTCTCCGCTCTGTTTTATGAGGTCTCATAATTACAATGTTGAAATGATTAATAGCTTGCTGCTAGGGTGGGGGTAATCACTCAGTGTTCATCTCATAATCTGGCTAGTAATGCGAACAAAATGCAAAACCCGTTGCCTTTTCAATATCACGACTGTCTTCTCTACGCCGTCTCTCCGCATTTTATCATATTGATAGTCAATTTGTAGGGAATATCATTGCCCTGGTATAACACATCAATCATTATTTTTGATGGGTAATTCTAACCCTCCATGCTAACTTTATTTACATGCGTATGGAGATCTGAAACCTAGTTTGCAACAAGATAAATGTCATTTTTTTTTTTGGCTTTAAGAATCAATGGAGGGGTTTTTGTGTGAGGAAATTGCACTCCTGACTGAGCAAGCCAGTGAATAGTTTTGATATAATATCGGAGATAAAGAAAGGCCAGTAACGGTTATGAACTTGTGACTGAAAATTGGAGGCAGGCAACCCAGGTCTGATTAAGTCTTGCCTTCCTGAACTGCAGCAACTAATTCAATGTAGAGTTGGCCGTCTTGTCATTTCGATGATAAGTGAGTTAGTCGGAGATGTGTTCATTGTATGGTTATAACTTAATTTGGAACCGCTCTTGGTCCTATAACCATGCTTTCATACCATTGCCACAATTGTCGAAATTAGATTAGGTTGAAAGATAAGGAGGCAAAATGGCTACATGGTCTCTTAATTTATTGAACAATGACTTCACATATCTTTCTACTACTCTATTAATGTTTCAATTTGAAAATTATTTCATATCAGCGCAGATATGAAAATGTTGTTTAGCATCTTCTTCGTTTATTGAAGAAATAATTAAGATGGCAACTGCATGAATTTTGTGTACTTTTCTTAAAAAATGATATCAGATTTTAATAAACATGTCTAATATTTTTTTCTTGTAAAATTTAATTTTTATTTTATCCCAATTATGTATAGATGATTTGATTTTTGTTCAAATTTGATTTGCATTTAGATGCCGATGATTCTTGATGATTTTCATTTTTGGCTTGAAAATTTGTGGCTAGACTATTAAATGAATATTTGGCTACAACCAATGCGTAAAATTCCTACCCAAAAGATTGCCCCAATAAAATGAAATTCTGCATAGACAATAATAGTAATAAATCTGGCAGAAAAATTTTCACACATTAAAAGTATTTCAGGCGTTTTGAAAGAAGATTCAGTGAGCAAACAATTTCACCCATGATTATGAGAAAATATGGCTACAAAACATTATTCACAGAGATTTTATATAAACAATTTCTATTGCCCAGGAGATTGAAAATTTTTCATCTATCCAAACCTTGAGGAACGTAAATTAAAAGGATGAGGGCTTATTGTCGATTGACAATAAGGAGGAATTTTATGGAGAAATTTGTCACCATTTGCATGAATAGAACGAGAGGGAAACCCAGGAGAAGAAATTGGCCAGATTACCATAAAAACATTTTCATGTCTGACACGAGATTTGTGTGAATTTGATGTCGATAGTTGTGTATGACTATATTGCCCTTCTTTGCTAAAGATTGTCATATTGATAGCCTTAGATAATGAAAACACGAAAGGCGATGATCTTCAATTTCACAAGTTATGTCAATCGAGCGCAAGTCAGAATAGCAATTAGGTGCTAGGTTAAAGTTGGCTGCCTTTCCTTAATTCCCGTTCACCTCAAACGACCGAGGATTTATTGTAGAGATACGGTAGAAGGAATATTATGTTCCTAGTGCTATTGACTACTGACAGGACGAGCAATATTTGTTATGACCTATGGATATTAGGTCTTCCCCTTCTGGCAGTTATGGCCTGGCTTTTATGAGTGACTGCCCCAATATTTCATACAAGATTTTTCCAATAAGCTGTCCACAAACGAAGGTCTTTAATTTTCCTCACATTGACCAACTATGTCAAGAGAGAGGATATCTCATAATGAATTTTCATGGCTGGCTTATTCTTCAATATCTTTGTACTAACATGTTCTATGTGATGAATTACATTATTGGAAATGTCTAATACTCTTGTAAATATCAGCTGAACCAAAAGGCAAAAAATAGGAATATTAGATTGAAAATCTTTGATGCCATTTCATTCTCTGCTGCCAAGAAAGAAATTAAGGATAAAATTAGAAAATACACTAAAAGGAAACCCATCCGTCAGATTTAAAAGATTTTATTTTTATATTTTGGGGGTATATCGGAGTACTTTTACTTGAATTCTTAGAAGTGTTCCTCCTTCAGAAGGAAAATCTTAATGGAGAGAAATCAATATTGAATAAAATAAAAATGTGACCAATTGATCAAGATTTGGTTAAGAAATACTGGTACCAGGTACCATGTGCAGAGTGGCAACTTCTTTTAGATTTCCCTGTTATGTAAATAACATCATTGTAACTGACACAGACATATTTTACACAGTACATAATTTTCTACGACTTCTTTCTTTGACATTATCTCAATTTTCAGTTTCCGATAATTTGGTTAGAGGTAAAGTGGGGTTCTAACACATGCATTCGTATATTTGAAAAGAACATTTCTTTTTCTTCAGTTTAATAATTATACCCGATCCATCCAATTGATTTGATAGAACTTTTATTATTTAAATGTGTGTGTGTGTGTGTTATGTGTTTTGTCTGCTGGTTTGCCATCTGGGTTTCTATTAAGTTATGTGGGGTGGAGCTCACACTGTTACACCTAAATGTAAAATTTCTGATTATATTAACAAATAGTGATATGGCCCTTTTCCTCAGGGGCTGTTTAGGGGTTTGTGGTTTGGAGATTTAAATTAGATGGAGATATTATATAATAATTATATAAGGTTATAATATTAAATTTTTGCTAATAAATAAATCAACTCTCTCTTCTTTTTTTTTCAGATGAAAACAAAATCTATTCCTGGGGTAACAACAGCAGTGGACAGTAAGTGATATATAAATTTAAATAAATCCATTGAAATGTGCAGTCAAACAAAATATTTCATAATTTTATGGATACCCTATTTTAACATATCAATATTTACATCTAATACATGATAACAGTAAATGAGCTTTCTTTAATCAGTGAAAATCAGAACCTATTAATTCTTTTCCAGTGTGTTATTTAATATTGATACATTAGCCGAACATTTCGTGACTGCGGCAAAGCATGTACCATGACATCTGCCATTATGTATTAAACTAAATTTTTCACCACCTTTTTTTGGCCGCAAAGTCATGAGGGAGTTAATGCTGTCTTTTTTATTCTGCACATCAAGAGCATGAAAGCCTTTGTTCGTGCTCATTGCTAATTTTCTTTGAATCGCTTGAGTGAACTAGTGCTCTGCACCAGTAGCCCCTTTTTTTCATCAGCCCATATTAATGAATTAAATAAATGTCAATCACAAAGTTAGTTGGCAATTCTTGTGGTTTCTCTCTTTCTGTTCCCTTGTCAAAATTTTCAAAACAATTGTTTTGGTTGTCAGAGCTAATTTCGTCATATTTGGAAGCAGCATGTTTGATATAGTAATTAAATGTGCCATTTCAGCATGGAATCAAATAGTATTTATCTCTTTATGCTATTTTTATTCAGCAGAAGTTGGAATAAAGGAACTAATTCCGTCTGAAGTTTGTACATCAGATGCTATTATTTGCACCATTTGCATTTTTTGTTGCTGATGATGAACGCCAGTTTTCTTACTTTATGTTTCTGATGAAAGTTAGATTATGTCTTATCATAGCAAACTTCAATAACAAATCAGAACAAATTAAAATTTGCTTTTCAAAAAAGTTTATACTGGTAATATAAATCAGTCTTTTTCCAAAATGAATCTGTTTCAAACATTTGATTTAAATATCTGTAATGTGAGTTATGAATGAAGCAAGACATGAACATTTTTATTGCCAGCTGTGACTTACTCCCTACGCAACTAGCATTACAATATTTTTTCTGTAATCTCGTTTAATCTGTAAAAATGTTTGCTGCCATTTTATTCCAGACAATACTCAAATGGTTTAGCTGTGCTTCTGAAATTATTTTTTCGTTAGACATGCAAGATGCCCCCCGCCCCTCCTTATGGAACGAAATAAAAATGAAATGGTGTTTAATGGCCTACTGTTCTGCTTCAACTGGCCGAATGAAGACAGGCATATGCCATACAGTGTGCAATGAGGTCAATTTTGCCCGTACAGCTGCACTACAGCCTACTCTTATATCGAATTCCAACTGCCAAGGGATCTTTTATATGCACACCAATGTGTACACAGGACCCTGTTTTTTTCTCCCATCTGACTATACATTGTTTCTTGCCAGGCCCTCTGTCCTGCACCACTGACAAGGTGGAACCGCAGCAGCAAATCCAGGTGAACTTTCTTGGACAGCGCAGGGATCGAACATAGAATGTCCAAGTTAGTGAGCCAACATCCTACTCACTGAGCCACCGTGAGTAGGATTTGATGCATGGACATGTAAATGACTTTTGATTGGGAAAGGGTCTATAGCTTCAGATATGCCATTTTTGCAGATACAGCAGTAGTGTTTGTTACAAGAAAACGATTGTTAACACCACTATGAGTAGTTTTAAACATCTACATCAGATTTTGATTATCTACACGCTAGATTTAACAAAAAAATTGCTTGTAAATTAATAGCTACCAACAAGAGGATGGATGAAAAACCCACAACTGATATGTTTTAGCAGTCCATAATATCAAAAATCAATCTGTTGATTTGATTTTTATTATTAGAGAAGCTGCGTTTTGAGGGGTTTTTTTTTCTCCAAATGGACTATTTGCCAGAATTTATTTATGAAGCTGTCAGGAATAAAACATATCTTAGATTATTTCTTAGTTAATATATGAAAAGTGTATCAAATTATATGTCATGATAAACATTTATTCAAGTGGGTAGACTGTCAACTATTTTTTTCAACTGTTTGCTCTGTGTTTATGTGGGTGTTCTACATACAGTTGTTGAAAGTGATGAATGATGTTTACTTGGTTTAATATCAAACCATCTTGACTTGTATTGTATCCTGGTTTATCTGATCGGTGTGGATTAATACAGCGTATAGATTAGCCCCGCTTGTCCCTCGCTTGTCTCGCGCTGACTTCTCTTGCCATTGATCACTTTAGATAAGAAAAGCCTTATTAATGACATTAATACCATAGCAGACGGGCACAGAGATGAGATGATTTACATAATATTTTGTAGCAGCTAGAACCACTCAAGCATACCCTTGTGAATTAGGATGTCAAGCAATTTCAGTTAGAATATTATGACTAACATTTGGTTAAAAGATTTTGATATTTTATATTTATTTTGATTTCATTGTTAAGTTGATATTGATAAATAAAAACTGTATGTATTATGATACTTTTTTTTCTTTCACTTGTTTTGTTAAAATTCAAAATCTTCTGTTCTAGTTGTCAGTATACGTTTTATTCAGTTTCAAGATTTATTAAAGGGAGTACCGTTGTTACCATATATTTTATAACTGCCCAAAATCGGGTGTGGAGAATTTAGTCTTGATCACCCCATCCCAAACACTCTCTACTTCAACTGAAACACGTACAATGTATTGCTCTGAACGAAGTAGCGTCATTTGCCTGGTTGTTTGCATATACAGTTCAGATAATGACTTAAAAATACATATACCATTCATGCAAGTGACACATTTTTTTCCAGAGCAATGGTCTCTGTTGTTGCGGACAAATATAATTTGGACTACATTGATACTCTCCGTAGAAAAATCCTAGCAAGGCCACTGTGTGATATAACATACTTTGTAGCTTTCTGGCTTCTGACCCGTTTTATGGCTTCAAATTAGTTTTGCACAGTTATGGGCTAAATGTAAATATCGTAAAAACCATAGGGGTCATCTTGTGAAGAGAAAACAAAATCAATAGTCATATCAAAAACATAACACCACTTTTATTATTGGCTGCTGAAATAGATCATTGGTGTCAATTTCTGATCAAAGCTCACTAATCTTTCTGGATAAGGTCGGATTCGGGGCACCACCACTATCTTAAGTCGTATGGTTTTTAGAAGCAAGGTTAACAGTCTAATAAGAAGATGTCTATGCTAGATTCCCCTCCATGTTAGAACAATAATTAAGCAGGCATGTTCACTTTGATTACTACTCTGATCTTTGACCTTAATGTGTGCAGGAAGCCACCAGGCCTCCGCTTGCCATTCAATGAGAGTTTTGTGAAACATGAATGAAGATTAAAGGTCCAATTACATCTCTGATTGCCTCTACTTTATCTTTCTTTTAGCCAACTCTGGCGTTCACTTTTGTGTTTTTATTACTCACGAGTTCAGATTGCATAAATGACAAAAAAATCTATTTTGTAGGAGTCTGTGGAATGAATGGGATTTTGGAAGATTTCTTTGTTAACAGATGAGGATCATAATTACTTCTTTGACCGTATTTGGTTTTTGCTGAGGTCTAAAGCCTATGATGAATGTGTTTTTATTATGATTTACAGATACGAGTGTAAGATGATATTTGTATTAAGATTAAAACACCCCAACTGATTAATGTTGAATAAAACAAGTTTCATATAAAATGCCTAATTTAACATCTCTCTATGGCTTTTGTTAGGAACTGCTTTGTACAAAATTTCAGAGACAATTAATAAAGTATCTATAATTACCTAACACTTCTTTCTGGTTCCATAATTCCTTGAACTGTAAGCAAGATTGTATTTTAAAAGTGATTTTCAAATTTGAAATATTCATAGTTATCATTGATTAGCTTTTTAAAAGAAGATTAAATTGTAGTCTTAATGCATTTAACATCAGATCTGCAGTGTAATCAGAGGTTTTGGGGTTCTATTGGAAATTTTTTCAGGCCCCGAGTTCACAAAGCATTCTCAGACTTAAGTTGAGAATTTACTCAAACTTGTCCACCTTATTTGAACTAAAATATAGCCCTTTATAATAATTTTGTTGTTTGAATGTATCAGATTCATCCATAAGAAACTATGTGCAAAATTTTGTGTTTCTGCATCAAATATATTTCTCATAAACAGTGATTAAAAGTTGAGCAAATTCTCAACTTCAGTCTGAGAATGCTTAGTGAACTTGGGGCCAGGTCCTTGGTGGTTCTTTGTTGTCACAATTTTCTGTATTGCCTCTGCCAGAGTTTTCTCTACTATGTGTATGTAAATTATTGGGTTTGGTATCCCAGAGGTATCTTTCTGCCTAGGGTTCTCTTCTCCTAAAGTACTATTTCTTATCATTTTCCAGCCGTTTTGAAAAGAAAGTACAATAGCTTCATGAAAAGTGACAAAAATTTATAAATACCGGTAAATAAAATAAAGATGGTTTTATTATGAAAACTTCTCACAATAATTTGAAATTAATAATAGTAAAACTTCCACTGTTCTATGTTGTTAACCTATAAAATTCATGCCATAATGGCGATAGAGTTCACTAATCTAATAGAAACAATACAAGAGTAGCAGAAAAAAAATAAAAGGCCATGTGGTGCCTACTGTGAAATTGTCTGCCAGGGGCGGATAATTTGACATGTGAGGTTTGGTTCTGTGGTGAGATCATACATAATTAACCCAATGCAGTTTTGATATCATTTGATTGCCAATTGGAATCCCCAAAGCCCACAGATAGGACCATAAAATATCTTCTCTTCCCTCCCCTATGATGAAAATTCTGCTTGAGTTAGTAATGAAATGTAGTGCTTTCTATGGATAACTGGAAATTGAGAGACAAACAACATCCAAGGAGTCCACTGGGTCCCCTAACCTAGTCGAACAAAATGTCTTGATGTCTTCCACACGGCACTTGGTTAGTTTCTAATTTATGGGTCAGGTTAGCCGAGGGAACAAGAAACTTTGTCTCAAGTTGTTCAGGCGAAGAATCGGAACGGGAGAATGATATCAATAAGGTATATTTGTGTAAGTGATACATGAGAAAAGGAATGGATTTGGCCATGTGTGTTAAAATAATAAACAGCATATCACAAGAAAATTCCTTGAATAAAGCTATGTTTCCATTTCATTAAATGCTTAATCAAATATAAAGATAAAATGAAATGTATTTTTCCCTTGAATGGAATTTAATAGGAGTTTTACGTCAGCCCCAACCGGGCTTATGAACACGAACATACACAATGTAGTGTACTATTAGGGAAATTTTGTATAGACAATGGGGCTATTGCCTAGGCCTACTCTATCTCAAATTCAATTACTTATACTAACGTGTAAATGGGACCTCGGTTTTTGGTACATCCGAATAACTAGATGTTGTTTCTTACCAGACCCTCCCCCCTGCACCACTAACAAGGGGAAAACACACTGGAAAATCCTAAGGAAATTTCTTGGCCTACAAGAAACTTGTTTCAGAGGTGGCTTAAAGTTTACAGCGAACACTGCTTCTTTGATTACCACCTTACCCAGAAGATTCATGTAGCACACTTGAGGCACTTTTCTTCTGTACATCTCATTGAGATTAAGTTGAGAAAATACAAAGTAAAATATTAGTAGTAAGTTAACAGATACCAAAACTATCTGTAACTTGTTTCTAAGTGTACCTATTTACACTTTTATTTGCAGACAGTATGTAATTTTTTGACTCTAACTAGAAAGATACCATAGCGAAATCCTATATAACATCCTATATTATGCTAGAAAAATGTAACTATGGGGTTTTTAATTTGTTGGTGTTGAGTTTGATGTTAGACCTAGTCGGGGCTGGGGGGAGTCAAGATAAGATTCATTTTAATTTGTCTCCTTGGGTTGAAAGGTATGCTTCCCCTGTGAAATCTCAGTGAAATTGATACCAAATTTTAGTGGATTGACAACAGGAAACTCAAGATTACTATTTGGATGGGTTGGGTTGTCCCCCAGTTGGTGCAATCTTCTTGAGTTGTGTGGTACTTTCTTGCCGAAAGTTGAGGAGTAGAGTCTGACAACTTCCCTTTCATACTATCTGCCTTTTCTGGGTATTTCTTTCCAAGATAAATGTGAATACATCTTATAAGATAGATTAAAGAGGTTTTTAGGTTAGGCACTTCCCCAAACTTATATGAAATAGACATTTAGAGACTTCCCCAAACTCATTTAAAAGAGACATTTGGGTTAGAAACTAACCCTAACTTATTTAAAAGTTATCCAAGTTTATATAGGATTCTTCAAGGAAGAGATGTTGTTAAAAATGAAGAAATGCTAAAAGTCACTAAACTAGAAAAACATCATACTAGATTGGACGTATGAAAAAACAATTTTTCAATGCTTCTATAAGTTCTATGTTGTCAATGCTAAAACCCTAAACTAATTCAAATCACACCTCAATCAGTTCTGGAAAAATGATGAAACAAAGTTCAACCCAAGCTGCTATTAGTACAGTTCTTCATAATATTTAGTAGACCAAACACTTTTGAGTAAAAAAAATTTATATGACATGTTCAGTTCAGACATGTGCAAACCTATCAGTGCCAGATATAATTAAGGTGGTCAACAAGCCATAGAGTCTTAATGGTAGACCGAAGAAAAGGTATAAAAAGAGACATTTAGGTTACAAACTCAACTAAACTCCTTTAAAAGAGACATTTAGGTTACAAACTCATCCAAATTCCTTTAAAAGAGACATTTAGGCTAGAAACTCACTCAAATTCCTTTAAAAGAGTCATTTAGGTTAGAGGCTCACCCAAACTCATTTATAATTAGTTTGCCTCTTTTAGAATTGCATTCAAGATAACAAGTAGCTTTTTTCAAAAGGAGTGGGACATGAAACTACCTGTAGTTACAGTTAGTCACAAATTACAGTTTGCATGGTTACACTGGTACCAGGTAAATAAGAATTCTGTGCATTGAGTAGAAATTCAGGATATCTACATTGTACATACTGATACAACTGATAATTGTGTGAAATAGCTTTATTTAACGTCTGCTTCCACCGAGGTGATATCACAACTGATAAACACAAGGAGTGTACTTATACAAACAATATACACTTCATGTATTTTAATTCAGCCAATATACATGAGGTGTATATTAGTGCAACCAGTATGCATACTGTGCATATTCCTGCAACCAATATTCTCATGGTGTATATTGATACAAATTGGTATCAGAAGGTGTACATGTATATTGATAGAACCAATATACATGAAGTGTATACTGATAGAACCAATATACATAAAGTGTATACTGATCAATATACATAGAGTGTATACTGATAGAACCAATATACATGAAGTGTATACTGATGGAACCAATATACATAGACATAGAGTGTATATTGATAGAACCAATATAGAGTGTTACTGTTGATGATAAAGGTGTTCATAAACAAACTGTCAGTAAGATGGTGTTAAAAATCATGATTGCAGTAACTATTCGGATTGTCACACCAAACCACATTCTACATGCCTTACATTCTGTGCATGACTGACAGATAGCCAGCCAACAATGGTTAGTAAATCTGACCATATCAATTTGCTTTCTGATTGAATCCAAGAATTATATGCAATTTACTATCAAATGATCAAGTGCCCCAATGCTTTAAACTATTACAGTCCAGTTTCTATTTTGAATTAGAGTCAATAGCATGTTTACCCTGTAATAGTAGGTGCAGAACAACTGCATCATACATGATAATGAAATGAAAACCCAGAAGATAAAACCCTGGACGAGGAAAAAAACAGCGCAGATTATGCATAGGTTACACGGTGCTCTGAATAAAATATTGTTTAAATTAATGCTCACAGTATGATATCACAATATGAACCAATTGGTTGTCATCAAATCACCAGAGAGAATCAATTGCTTTTAACTAGTAGATATTTTTTATACGCCAACATTTTCATTTTCATTTTCATGTGGACATATATTGTTGTCGCCCCTGTCCGTCCGTCCGTCTACAATTTGTTTGTGGACACTCTACAGTTCACAATTATTGTTCAATTTTGACCAAACTTGAAATATAAGTCTATATCTTTCAAACATCTCGGTTCCTTTTGATATTGGCATGTGTCGGACCATAAATTCATGGATTATGGCCCCTGATTGTACGAAAAATCATGTTTTTAGCTTGTGGACACTCTAGAAGTCACAATTTTGATAAGATTTTGATGAAACTTGAAATGCATGTTTATAACCCAAATATCTTGTTTCTTGTCGATATTCGCTCATATCGGATCATAACTTCCCGAATTATGGCCCCTGATTGAACGAAAAATCGTGCTTTCAGTTTGTGGTCCCTCTAGAGGTCACAATTTTTATCCAATTTACAAAAAATGTTTACCGGTAGTATATCACTGGACAAAATGGCTGCCCCTTGTACGCAAATAGTGTAAACATCTGGTATATCAAGGTTGTGGACCTCCTAGAGGTTACAATTTTCATCCTGTTTTGATGAACCTTGAAATGCATGTTTATAACCCAAAGATCTTGGTTTCTGTCGATATTCGTGCATATCGGATCGTAACTTCCTGAATAATGGCCCTTGATTGTACGAAAAATCTTGTTATCCGATTTAACAAAAACAAATGTGCGAATATATCACAGTTATACACTAATGATGGTTAAGTTCGAAAATCAGACAAAATCTGATGAACATAACGGCCGCACCTTGTACGCAAATAGTGTAAAAATATGGTATATCAGATTTTATCTGATTTGGATGAAACTTTAAATATATGTTTTTATTTTAAAGATCTTGGCTCTTTTTGATAGTCACACATATCCGAACGTAACTTCCTGGATTATGGCCCCTGATTGGTCGAAAAATCGCATTTTTAGCTTGTGGATTCTCTAGAGGTCACAATTTTTTTTCCGATTTTAAAAACCATTTAAATACATCACCATTCCACCATAATGAAGGTTGAAAATCAAAATGAAAGTGCCCGACAAAATGGCCGCTCTTTGTACGCAAATTGTGTATAAGTATGTAATACAAAGGTTATTTTTATCCGATTTTGATGAAATTTAAAACATATCTTTATATTCCAAAAATCTGAGTCCCTTTTGATATTTGCGCATTTCAGACCATAACTTTCTGGATCATGGCTCCTGATTGTACAAAAAATTGTTTTTGTTTTTAGCTTTTGTTCTATCCATCTCTTGCAAAATTTGGACATATCCTGCCTGACAGCCACTGGTTTATCCATTTTTATACATCCACATTGAAATGTGGTCGTATATTGTAGGTATGGCCCTTGATTACTTCGAAAAATCTTGAGGATACTCTACAGGCCAAAGTGATCATTCGAATCTTGTAGCTTTTTGTTTTGTGTGTAGTGCGGTCTACCTACACTTAATATTTAGATTGATACACAGAGTTTAAGGTCATGAGACGAATTAGCCTATTGATTTTCAACGATTTCCGATAATTATTGCCAGAGTTTTGGCCTTTGATCACTATGAAAAGTTTTGCGGATGATCTACAGGCCAAAGTGATCATTCGATTGACTTTCAATTGATACACAGAGTTTAAGGTCTTGAGACGAACAAGTTTGTTGAATTTCAGTGATATTTGATAACTTGAACAGCTAAATCCATGATATTAAATGTTTTGTATACTAAACTTTAGCATGGGGCAGAACTAGAAGCCAAAATAAATTCTAATCATTTTCTGATAATTACTTAATCAGTTGTTACTCTTAATCAGATTTTAGTGTATTATAAATGTTTCATTACCGACAAAAGAAAAAAATATGTGACTGCCTGGACGACTTAGCTGCTGTGGGTGTATGTTTCATTGCCTGGCAACCTATCTTTCATTTTTTTCTTTCATTTCAGATTAGGAACGGGGAATACTGAAACTTCTTTAAGACCAGTTCAAATTCGTTTTGAGGTTAGTTTCTATGCTATCTTTTAACCCTTTCATTGCGTATACCCGGTAGTACCGGGTATTATAAAATGTCGGTAATATACGCGTACCCGGTATTACCGTGTACTCAGTAAAGCCCTCGCTAAAATTAGTACCGTAACTGTAAGTGCCATCTATTGTATTTTCTATACACTAGAACATATTTCCACGTGTTTCAAAGCGGCAAACCGTAAAATGGCAGAGTGCATAGTGACAACGTAGACGATGCACTTTCGACGAAGTCGTGAATGACATCTTGCTGACAAACACGTGGACAATTTCGAGGCGGGTGATACACATAATTCGTTTCCAATTACTTGATAATGATAGTAGTCAGGACAGTGATTGGTATTATGAAGTGTGTGATTTGTTGCGCGACGTTCCGCCCATGGCTAGCTATGTCTCCCGTGCATGATGAACAAGCCCAATGTGAACACGATAGCCCTGTGTCTGCAGTAGATTCTGACAATAATTCTGATGTTGATAATAATTATGCTGGCCTGCTGGATCGTAAAAGACGTAGGCAATTCCTGAGTCCCGAACGTGTAGATCTATTGACTGACTATATTGATAATGATATGGGACTTGGGGATGAAAGTGAAAGTAAAAACAAGGTATTGCAATCCGCACGTGGTCATGGCAGCGGGAGACGTGATGCGCGTGTTCGTGGTGGCATTACTCATGGCTGCTATTGATATTTTTGTTCATTTCATATATCTTTATCAAATTCCAGTGAAAAAAACAATATCTCATAAGTATTTCATGGAGAAAAATTTGTTTTTGTGTTAGCTTTAGTGAGAAATGAGAAATCCAAAATGGCCGCCATGACGTCACGTGACTACATTATTATGCAAATTTCCAAAATTCTATTTTTTCCTCTTAGCCAAACCTCATGCCCATCCCAACAGACAAAAAGATTTTTCATAAAAGCTTCCATAAGTACTGTTTGGCATTCAGTTCCAACCTTACTTTTTTCCTCAAAAAAGGGTCTAGCACAGGCAGTTTATTTACGTCTAGCATTGAAAGGGTTAATTAATACAAACAGAGTACAGATTAAAAAGCATTTAAGAATAAACTATGTCATACATATTACATTATAAATATGCTTTAACATGGTGTGTTGCCACATTCACAAAATATTTTCTCAATCATGATGGATCATATAATATCTTTTGATAGATGGATTATAATATTGCTGGTATTACATGTGGCGGTAGACACACAATGGTATGGTTAGATAATGGACATGTTTATAGTTTTGGTAATAATTTCTATGCTCAACTGGGATATGATTTCAATGATGAACTGTACAAAGAAAACCAGGTATGTAATATTTTTATCAAGGGTTTGATATTTTGGGGAGTTATTTTGGAGTGATATGAACCAACACCATATATTTCAACTGTTTTAGAACTTACTTATATATGCCTACATTGTGGTATATGTCCATGTTTGGCCACAGTTCCTAACACTCACAGGTCAAAATTCTTGTCAGAATCTTTTCAAATTTGCAGGGATTGTTGATCAGGACATTTACATATTTATTATCCAGTGTTTTATATTTCTTCTTCTCTAGTTGTCTCCACATCATATGAAGTTTTCATCCCATCGTCCAGTACAGCAAATCACATGTGGTGATAAACATTCTTTATTTTTATTTCAAGATGGTTCTTTAGCTGCTGTTGGGTAAGAATATATATTTTTGAGCCTTAAATCCTTTTCAATAATCTTTTTTTTAATTTTATTTAGCTGTATTAATTGACCTTTAAATCTTAGTGGTAGTTTGGCTTCTGTGACATAAACAATGTTTATCTGTTACAAGGTTTACTGGTATTGCCCTTGTTATTCGAAGTTTCAGCTCTCAAACTAAATATTTTACCCTTTATTACTTTAAAACTCAATAAAGTCTACCGAAATAGACTGATTTGACATAATTACTTTTTCACAGAGTTATTACCCTTGTGAACTGATTAACACTTTGTACGCTTTCTGATAAATAATAAATTCTGTAGTTACCTATAAAAATCACAATGTGACATAGTGCCTTGTGGGAAATATTGGGTCCTACTAATCACCAACAAAAACTGACAAGAGCGTTTTCTTGTCAATATTTCTCAAGTATTGCAAAAAGTGACCAATAAGGAAATATGCATATTCTACATATTGTATTCAAAATTCAAAATTCAAAAAACTTCATGAAAGATTGATTAAATTAAGGATAAATGAAATTGACCAAAAAATGCTCTTGTGTTGGTTCTTGTCAGAAAATACAATATAAAGAAGTAACTTCTACACATGTTTGATATCCGAATCTGGCTTCCTTTATGTACATTCACAATGTTCCATGTTAGACCACAAAATCATTCCTACAGGCTTGAGATTGTTGGTACGTGTTATGTGGAGATCATTATGGATTAGTCAACTATTAGAGATCTCCATTCATTAATAAGTTTGGGAAGCTCATTGATATAAGCGAATAAAATATTGTTTAAATAAAAAAAATGAATTATTTTGTGAATAACATTGAATGTTTTTATTAATGGTTACAAATCAGACAATTCTAGCCTTGTTCATTCTTTAAACATAGATAAATATAGTACCATATAGCGTGATTTCCAAGTAGAATTATACCATGTTAAAATCATTTTGCTCTAGAGGCTAAAGTTATCAGTCAGTTAAAATTCTGATAATCACTTTTGGAGTTATTGCCCTTGATCAAGTTCAAGTTGATTTGAAATTTATAAACATTGATTCTGTTCATGAGACGAATAAGTGTGTTGATTTTCAATAATTTACCAATACTCTAATAGCAAATGTTATCATCTGATTACCGTTATAATCAAGCCTGGAAATAAGGCACCTGTCACTGACAATGTCAGGCACAGATTCTGGCTTTGTCAGGCACTAAACCTCTTGTGCCTGTCATTTTGTCCGGCACTCATTTATCTTTTTTATTGATATTATTAATACATGTCCGGCACTAAGTTGAAAATGTCAGGTATTATTTCATTAGTGCCTGACATTTTGTCAGGTACATGTAAAACCGTTATTTCCAGGCCTGGTTATAATGCTACGAAGAACTCGAAGCCTATCAAATTTTAATTATTACTGATAATAGTTCATGGGTTGTTACCTTTGATCAGTTTCTAGTGTTTGGTAATTACTTGCATTACCTACTAAAGGTTAATATTGTGATAACCTTTATAGACTGCGGTGAATGTGGGTGGGTGTGCAAAGTGTGTTTATTTGCTGGCAACCTGTCTTTCTGTGCATATGTAGAATGTGCAGTAGACATTTTGCAGCTTCTATGAACTTCTAATCATCCATGAATATGTTTATTCCCACTCATTGCTGTCTATTGTTTTCTTTCCAACCAAACATACATTTTGCCTTCCAAAATACCACAAACAGTAGACTGCTGACAAAACCAAGAAATCTCCAAAAGTTCCTTTGACAATCAATAGTAGGAATCCAGTCCTGTGGTCATATTAATCACAATCTGCTCTATTGGTCAAATTTGTGTGTTCATGGGGCTTAACATGCGCTTGAACCAAGGGTGATATCACAGATAAATATTAGTCAAGACTTATTGTCAGCTCTTTACGGTTAGATGATTTTATTTTATTATAGAAGTAACCTCAATGGTCAGATTGGGTCAGGTGACAATATGGAAGCTGTCATACCAAAACAAGTCGACTTAAGTGAACCAATCAAATCAATAGCGTCAGGTGCCAATCATAACTTAGCTATAACAAGTAGGTAACCATATACCCTAATATTTGTTGCAATATGTAGCTTTTAATTAAGTTACTATTTTACTTGGATTTTTTAAAATTTTATTGGATGCTTGAAATCAAATTCTATTAAAAACATATTCAAACTAAAAATGTGCATACAACTTTTATTTAGAATTATAATAATAAACTAACTATTTGGCAATTTTATTATTTTTTATCGTAATGAACCAACACCTAGTCAGTTCTTTGCCTGATTTATTTGCTGTTCAGTGTAATTAATTACTATATTCCCCGTGGAATAGTTGATCAGAAGTGACAGGCGATTAAAAATTATTACAAAATATTATTTTTTAATGCAAAATTTAATGTCTTATCAATCCTGATTTAAAATATATTATTTGTAAGCAGTGTCATTGGATTAAAAACAGATTCAGGTGTTGTATAGGTGAGTTGTCTCCCCTGGACTACTAATAGCATGAAACACTGCTCGCGCTCTAGTGACTTTTATAGTATGGATTAGCACTGTATATATTGACTTGTAACATCTCTGCTCCTAGTTTTTCCTGATGTGAATGTACAAATTGATTTTACTGCTTGCCTCTCATTAAATATCAATGTGAATTGTAAAAAATGCACTGAATGTGATAAGTGTTGATCCAAAAGATTATACCACATTAAAAGAATATTTATTGCCTATTTTGCCACCATGTTGTACTTCATCTAGATCACTTTCCAAGTCTTTTAGTTTTATATTTTATGGATCATCATATTTTTTCATAACAGATATAGGGGATACTTATTTGGTTAAGCTAGAGTTTTGATTCACTAAATTTTGAGTTATTTTCTGTCATATTTTCCAAATGGCCCACACATACATAATAATGTCATATTAATGTCTTTATGTGCTGTATAATTTAATGCCATAAGAAATATTTTTGATATAAATATTGCAGCTTTATTATATTTTTTAATACCTACACAAATTTTAAAAATTTAATATTCATCACTAAAATAGTAATTCATCTTTAATTATCAAGCAGTATAAATGTTTGGTTCACTTTATAATGGTTACTCACTTTTAACAGAATTATTAATTTCTGAAGCTTAATTGATATATCACAGTGTCAGAATGGACATATTTTGATGTTACATCTAACAGAAAACAAATTTTTATATGCCATTAAATATGTAAAAATATATCATGCAGTGTATTCTTACAGCTGGCCCCCAGATCTGTTTTCTGGATTTGATATTTATCAGAATTTGTTGTTTTTTATTTGCAATAAGCGTGTATATTGTGTGTCTTGCCCACAGGTTTGTCTTGTGGGTTTTGTATGTGTGTAGTGGAGTCCTCCTGCACTTACTAATAGTTCTCAGGTTTAAATTAATTGATCATAGTGACATTTATCGAACTTCAGTTATATCATTTTGAATTTTTGACATATTTATACAGAAATGTATTATAATTCAAAATGGCCCAAGCAATCCATCATGGCGTCAGCCTTTTCCAAGGTACCTAGTATTAATTTCCAGATAATATTAATATGGTATTCTATGTCTGAGAGAACTAATCCATATTTGATCTTATAAATTGAAGAGGAGAAATAAAAGCAAGCCCTAGGCCATAAGAACTCAGTGAATATTGTATCCTATCAGTTTATTATTGGACAATGAAGTCGCACAATAGAAAACCAATACCGAACCATCAAGACTTTTTATACAGATTACATAAACCCAAGGTTGTCTGTCAGACCTATATTTAATGAATCAATGTTTCAATGATTTTATTACGCGATGTGAATAGTTACTCAACTTGTCTTACGGTACGTTCATTGAGTACCGTCAGTCTCTATAGCCGTTCTGTTAATATGATGAATCAGAAGTTCAAAATCAGGTTCTGTGAGACCAATTCTATTGTCTACTTGTCTGGATCTCTTAATTTGTTAAATCTGTCAAATATCAATAAAACTCATTGGTATCTGCTGTCCTAAATATAGAAAACAAAACAATGTAGGTTTTGTCAAGTTTTGTTGAGTAATTCTTCCTGTATGGGGTATTAGAGTGGCATGTTCAATTAAATAATGAAAGTGGGTACGTGAGAGAGAGAGAAGTGGGGTTTAACGTCCACTCGACACAAACTAGGTCATTTCGGGACTTAACACATGGTTCAATTTTATTTCAATAATAATAGGAGTCTTTAGCAGTGGGAGGAAATCGGAGGACCCGGAGAAAACCCACGAGGTTGGACAGGCGACCCTACTCCTTGTCACGTACAACCGAAGTGGGTACGAGAAGAGAAATGGCAACACTCCCTTGACAGAGTAACTATAGCTGGACAGGCTGGTAAAATCTGCGTGGGTACTGCATCAGGAAGATGATACCGGCGGGGCAAGAGAGCAATAAAATAAATTTAGGAATCCACGCAAAACAAAAGCACAACCAACTTTGTTTAGAGTAGAGATTTTTTAATGATTATAACGTTACAGACTGGTAAAAAAATCTCAACTCTACACCAAGTCTGTTGTGCTGCTGTTGTGCAGGGATTCCTAAATTTATTAAATAATGAAAGTAATTAATTCTGAACAATATCATATTTGAATAATCTTTTAGTGGAATTTAGTAACTGGATAGAGCAATAAACAATAAGACATTTGTAAGAAATGTTAATAATTTATGTAGGTAACTTTTAGATGGGTATTCTCTTAACATTGGGAGATTACTATTTGAAAAAATCACATAAAAATTATATAATTATTCTTATCTTATAGTTTATCATGTGAGTGTATAGTCAGATAGTGACTAAATATTGTTGCATTCTGTATTTGACTGTCTCAGTTATTTAATTATCCAAATGAACGGACCAACTGAATATATTATTTATTTTCAACTAAAATTATTGCTTTTAATCCTATTTTCAAAGGACCATAACATTTCTACATTTTAAAAACTAAAACTTTTAGTTGAAAGTTCATAGAAGCAATTGACTCAATTTTAATGGTCCTAAGAATATTGAAAACAGATTGTCAATAGATGTATGTGTATATTCATATCCCTTATACTGTTTTAAAAACAATAAAAGCATTTATTGTGGGCACGTCTTTGTTAGGATGTCTTGTGAATTTTAAAGTGCTATTATGCATTATGTAAGTGCATATTCATATGTAAATGTACACATGATGGTAATCGAAACTTTTCTCTAATGCTTAATGAACATATATATATATTACTGGCGGCACGGATAGCCTTTAGGTAATTGTAGGAACCAGAAAAGGGTTGGAGTAGTGTTAAAAGGAATCTTTTGTGAAGTTGAAGTGGCTAGTCAGCTTGTGGAATTGATTACAGATAATGTTTAGTATATTTCCCCGCAGGATAAAAGCGGTAATTGACTAGGTGTTAACCCGATAGAAAACACTTGTGTCTTAGACATCTTTTACCAAAGACCTTTTATACTTTCAGCCTGTTTTGGGTCACATTATGTCAATACAACACTTTTTACAGTAAATACATGAAAACAAGGCCGTCATCTTTTACATTTCTTTTGATTTTCACCTATATTCTTTAATCGTCAAAAGTGAAGTGTGGCCGAGATGTTGATAAAAAGGGATCTCAGGATCTGAATATAAATCTACCATCATGTGTAGGTGTTTATCTTGTCATCTTGACTTTGTTTACGTGTAAACAAAACTAAAAGAATGAATGAACATGTATTTCGATTTTTGAGCTTTAACGAATCCAATTTAATTGTTGGAATTAAAAGACAAATTTAACTTAGTAATTCCAGATCATTTTCTGGTAAAAATCAGTTAATAATGGATGCGAATAATGGATGCCAAAAGCAGATGTATGCCCACACAGTTTAAACTGGAATGAACATTTATGATTTTCTTTCAGGTGGTTGTTTAGTAAAATTATTTTGCCGTTAATTTTAGAGCAGTGTTATAAATTCCATTATTTGTATTTGCTTTTACATCAGTTGACAAAAAGTGCAGATTAGACCAATTATGAAAACGCATCTCCAATGATTTCTAAGTCCATTGAAAAATTTAATGATTTTGTACTGAAATAATTTTTTGGAGAAAAGTCTTTATTTACTTTCCATTTATTTGTGCCCGAGGTACAAAGATTGTGGCTTTTATATACAATGAAGGTCGATAGCATGAAATAGCATGGCAATTATTACAGCTCTTCAGTTGCCTATTATTGTCTTGTAATGTCAGCAATATGTGAATCGTTAATAAAGTAGAGGAAGCTAGGTTTTCTGTGGGAAATATCCCTCCACTAAAAATGCCTTCGGTCTTTCCATTATTATTTGTTCCAAAGTAATATTGAAATGATTTGTCAACATTGTTTTTCCATAGCTCCCCAAATCTTTTAACAAGTCACAATGCCAAGCAGCCAAATAACGGATGAACTCCTAGGGGTTTATATGACGATTTATTGATTCCCTTTTCTAAACTCTTTTATATGATAAAAACTCATATAGTTGTCATCTTGTTGTTCTGTCATCAATGCAAGAATCTCGTTATCTCGCTCGACTTTTTTTTGTTAAGAGGATAAGTGGTTGATCAATTAACTTCAGCCATTAAATATGGCACACTTGTATGACACAAAAACATGTTGTGCTTTTAATTGGAGAGTAATTTTGTCTATATATATATGTTAAGGGGGATCAAGTTGCTAGTGTATGGATACATGTTTCCAGATTATTGAATGGCTGATCATTCGGCTGGCCAAAGAGCAAAACCTAATATCAAAGGTGAGGAAGGATGTATCGATTGCCGAACAATCGACCTACCTTTAATAATGTATTGAAATCATCTCGCCTGAAACGCTTACCTACTCCACAATATTGTTTCGGCTAAGTAGTGTACAGTGCCAGAGGGGTCAAAGATGGCAGATAAAGTTAAATAGCTATCAGAGTGCAGTCAATTTTCTGCTTGTTCGGTTCCACACAATCTACTCTTTGGTCTTTTGGCTGGGAATGGAGAGAACATGAGGTGATTATTACAGGTAGTTCA